TTTTCTTTCGAATTCTTGTGGATGTCAGGCGGTGTTGGAAGGTCCGGAATTTATTCGTGGAAACCCGAATCGGGACGGGGCGTTTTGTTGCTATTGGATTAAGGTGGGGCGATCGTATTTCGGGGCTCTTGGGTTGGTGTTGCATTTTTGGAAGGCGTTTTTGTTTTAAAGGGATGGATGGAATGGGCGGGGTTTCACTGGGTGCATAATACTGGGGGCGCGAAATGCATTATATATTCCTGGGACCACCTGGCGTGCCCTAGCCAAATTCGCTAGTCATCGGAAGGGGTGGAGGGGGGTTGGTGAAGAAGGGTAGGCTAATTCGTTGGTTGGTGCTGGTGTGGTAGTGGTGTTGGGCAGGGTAGAAGGGAGGGCTGGTTGTGGCCCGAGTGGCTATCGATGGGCCATAGGGGATGGTGCCAGCTGCCTCCCCTTGTCCCGCGATGGCCCACGGACACCACCCGCTACGGGAAAACCGGAGGCCAGCCATGGCATAACCGGCAGTCCAGTATGTCCATCCATCATTCAATGCTTTTTCACTATCCAATCCTTTATTTAATACTAAGATCCTGCTAGTCCTTGATTTATTTAGCCGATCGATCTCTTTTAATTTCAATTTCATGATTAAATCACGTCACCTTGTATCATATAATTTTGGGTTGTTTCTGGGTGTGCCTCCGTTTGTAACATTCAAGCCGGATTTAAGGGTCTTCTGGTGTATCACATTTTCTAATTTTCCTTCCCGAAGGAAATCTATTATCCTCATTCGGATCACGTCGCCCGAATTTTCATAAAAACATATATTAAAAAGTTAAAGCTGATTTTGCTTAATTTTAGAGCCCCGGGGGGTGTAATTTGCATAATACGTAAAATCGAACGTTTCCTCAACCGAAACAGTTCTACGCTCGGGTGCGCTTAGGACTGGATGATCTGACTTTGGAACTTGGTATTTCATTTCAATTCGCTAATTCTATAAAAATGCCAAAACAAACGAAAATCCGGTTCGCAGGATCATCTCTACTTCGATCGAATCCCCAGAATTTTTAATTTGCATCCGCCGCTTCCGCTTTTTTTTCCGAGTCAATACGTTTCTGATTTTTCATGTCCACTTCCAAAATCCCCCACATCAAAAGCCACCGAACTGACCCCTCCCCTCCAGGCCTGGGAATTTTTAGGGCCGGCCCGGGCCGGCCCAGGGCCGGGCCGGGCCGGGCCGAGATTTTCGCGATTTTTCAGGGCCGGGCCGGCCCCGGGCCGGCCCTCGAATTTTCAGGGCCGGCCCGGGCCGGCCCGGGGCCGGCCCGGGCCGGCCCGACCTTTCTGCACGAATTAGAAATCAATTCAAATGTGGTTATATAAAGCTAATCTTTACTATTTCGGCATGTATAAGGATTACGCTATTTATCTACACAGCTTAAACAAAAAAAAGCATTTTTGATCAAAATCGCTTACCAGGAAAACGACCCGGGTTCGACCCCGCGCGAGGTCAATTTTTTGCTTTTTGCTTTTTTTTCTACCGGAAACAATCTGAAATAACTGCAATGCCATTTGGCATGACCTGAGACATTAAAACGTACTCTCAGCTGATGTCAGGACTCCTCTGATGCATGGCTTTAGTTAAGGTCAGAAAGTAGGGCCGGCCCCGGGCCGGCCCGGGCCGGCCCAGGGCCGGGCCGGGGCCGGGCCGAGAATTTGGCCCGTCGGGCCGGGCCGGGCCGGGCCGAAAATTTTGACCTTAGGGCCGGCCCGGGCCGGCCCGGGCCGGCCCTGACCCAGGCCTGCTCCCCTCTACACTGCCATCTTCTCACCGGACACCAAGAATGAATATGACAAGAGAAAGAGCCCCCAGAAGCTCGACCCCTTCCCATGGCTGGCTCCCGTCTATTAGTCATCGGGCCCGCCTACCAACCAACAGAGAAGGCTTCAATTTCTGCCCCGCCGCTTCGCAACGATACAATTTTTATTGCGCCTTTGAAAGCCTACCCATGGAAACTTACCCCTTTTCCTTGCACATAGTAATTTTAGTTTTTTATCATGTTCGTAATTATTATTCCGGATTTAACATTTCGCAGAAATATTGTCGAATACACGCAAGTTATTTCAACCTGTCTTACTACTCCTTCAAACAATCTTAAAAAACCCATTAATGCCTTACACTTTCTAACACTTTACATCAAATGACCTCCTCACGCTGCACCTGCCCCATATTGTGGTTTATAGTCTGGGCCCTGCTTATTGACTTTGGGCCCTCTCCCCGGGATATGTTCCTTTCTGTTCCCAATATTGTTATTTTTCGGCATATGAAGCCAATTTAATCAGAAGTATTTGAATGCTATATGCCCTTGGCCTTACTGAATGCTAATCGTCAATAGCTTGATCTGGCGCTAGCTTTTTTGGTCGGACATCCTTTGTATATTTGTAATAACAGAACGGACATGATGATGTGTTCTCCCCACCGGGCAATCGTAGACAAATATTATTGTCAATGTGACGACGATTGCTTTCCCCCCCCGAGGGCGCATATGCTTCGTTTCTTACGAAAATTTACGCCCTGGCTAGGAGGGGCTGAATCATAGTGGCCCGTGGGCATATAGAGCCCGGAGAGCAGGTGTGAGTTTGGCAGGCAAAAACGATCAAGCACAGCTGCGGATTTATGCTTTTCTAGTCGGGGCGATACGTTTGCTTTATGAATTTGAGTTGGACACTCTTTTTCTTGTTGTATCTAAGTAAAAATTCCACAATAATGCCAATTTCTGGTCCGCAAATTACTCAGGCAAAGGCAACGCCCTATCTTCTTGTTTTGCCCTTTTTGGCACCCATCCCTAATCTATCAAATTGCCGGTCATTTTCGTGTGCAAACATTGGGTGAGGAGTGATAGCCTATGCCAAGATCCAGCACCAAGATAGTAGCCTATCGGAAATAGCTAGACGTATCACTACACGAGACTAGCCTGGATGAGCATCACCTTCTCCTCCATCTCCTACTCCTCCTCCTTCCCCTCCTCAATGTACAGTCCACCCCTAGCGAGTCAAGACCCAAAGCAAGGCTCGAGCCCCTTGCGCCGCGCGCGCCATATCGATCTTCCCGTAAATAGACCGCACACAGCCCCAACCATTCCTCCCCTTCCTCCCGACTAGAGCCACCTTTAGAGTAGCACCTTAGACCCGACCGACCAACGCCCTCCAACCCATCTTTCCCCCTCCCCCCTAAGGCCCCGACCGACTCCGATTCAACCCTTTTGTCATTTTTCAGGCCAAAACTCCAGGAACCCCTCCCCTTCCGAAAGACCATCTTCCCCGAGCCACCCGCTCGTCGCCTTTTTCTCCTTCTATTTGTTCGCCATTTTCCATTTTTTTCGGGCTCACTGTGGAGAAGCACGCATTCTTCCAGGCCTTCCCAATTCTTCTAACGAACTGGCGTTCCATTTACCTGAGAAAACGCCGGTCCCCTTCGACACCTATCTACTCTTAATTTTTATGTTACGCCATTCAAAACTTACTGAATCCCCAATTTCGTTGAATTAAACTTTTGCTATATCCAAAAAAAAACTCCTTTGTTACTATTTTCCGGAGCATCGAAAACTACACGTGCTGCCTCGCTTGACTCGTTCGCGCTGCTCTAGCGCACCACATAATGCATTCTTAATCCGGTGCCAGCGGGAGACCGCTGGTAACTCCTGCTGGATCCGATCCCCCGAAAACATAGGCTACTCTGAGAAATATTTACGCCAAAATGCTATTCAGCAGTGACTAATTTTCCTATTATCTAAAAATTATCTGGAATAATTAATTTCTAAGTAAAAGCTATAAAAATTCGAACAACAATCTTATCCGTCACATTGAGGATCGTCGATCTTAAAAAAGAACTAACCCCATGCTGTTTTCTATTGTTTTTCCCACAAATACCCTGCGCACTATCATCGCGCACGCGCATTTTATTGACAATGCTGATGAATGGGCTAGGCGGGGCCGAGTGTCGGTTTTCGAGTCAAGGCCCCAACGAGAGCGAAACTCAACGATATAGTATTGAGGGGCGAAAAGAAAGACGGGGACCCCCGATCGGGCCACCTGACGTCCCGGGGTGTTCGGGCTACTTGTGGGCCTCAGTAGCCCCTGGTCGGGTCCCAGCTCAGGCTCCTCGGATCCTTCCCGAGCAGACCTGAGAGCTGTTTTGAAACGACCGGCCGGCGCCCAATCGATCCCCGGGTCGATCCCCACCACCAGCACCCGGTCATTTCCCCGGGTCCCGCAACTTTCAACTCGCTCGAATTCGCGCGATCGCACCCTGTCGCACCGAATATCTAACTCTCGTTGCCCGTGATCCCTATCTCCTCGTTTATTTGCCGACGCGTCGCCTTTTTGAGTAAAAAAGGTCTGCACGTGATCGATATCCCCCGGTTTGAGATCCGATATCCCTTTTTAGAGGCCATGTATCTGCAATTCCAGGAAAATTGCCGAAAACGGCCTTTATATTATCGTCGATAATTTTTCAATAAACTTTTCTAACTGCTGAGATCAGCCAAACCTAAAAAGAAAACCTAATAAAAAATGATTGTAATCAGATTTCTATTTTTTTGGAAAGTCTTACACCGTTTTCATTTGGAGAAACTACGAATTTAGAGGGTTTGTGGCTTCCTTCGGCCCTCGTTTTTACTTTTGAATTTGAAACCCCTCCATATTATTCCCTAAGTTTTCTCTATGCGTGTCCAAGGCAATTATCCCAAAAAGGTAAAAAACTCTTTCAAATGCTAATTATTAAATTCACTCATTTTATGAATCTTCTATTTTTGTTTTGTTGCAAGATCGGGCATCGTTGTGAATTTTTGTTGCAAAATTTCGAATTTTCGGCGAAAAACTCCGATATTCCGCGTGGATCCGTTACTGTGTCACTTCGTATCCTCGCGTACATTCCCTTGCTCATCTGCCCAAATGCCCTGCGGCGCCGTCTGAACCCTGGCTCTCTTTCGCAAGCGGCGGCGCTCTTTTTGAAATCCCTCACGATGCCCATCTACCACCACATCTTGAGAAAATCACAAAGAAAGAGTCCGTTTCCGCTTCCGCGCATTCCTTCTTTATACGACGAAGTTGAAGGTTTTCATATCAATTTTGAGATTAAGATAATGTTTTCCTTTGTTTCAGTTGTCTACGCCACCATTCCACCGATGGCTGGCGCCTCAGCTGATTGGGGCGTCCTATGGGTATGTTTTGCTCTTTTATACTTTTACTTTTGATCATTATAAGTCACTAGGATAGTTTTTACGTGGCCTGGTTTATAGGAAGCTGTTGGTTCTTTCAATTACTGATTAGGGGGTTCTTTATCTGGTTTTTATATAGATAGTAGGACTGTTTACCAGCTGGCTTTGCTTTGGGATACCTGTAATCTTATTTTTCTCTTTCCATGTGTAACAGGATTGATAATAGCTTTTAATTAGCCAAATTGCTGAAAACTTATCTTGTCTGGCACATTTTTTCTTTACCTAGCTCACTATTACTATTCTATACCGGCTGACTGTCCTTTTTCTGTATTTCCAGCTATGTTTGTCATAAAAAGGATTCGGGGGATGAAAAACCCGTGTAGGTGGAGGGACACTATTGTCGGCGGCGCCGTTCGCCCGAGTCCCGTTTCTCTATTTTCCAGCATGCTAATCTGGCTACGCCCTGTTTCGCGCCGTTTGTGAATAGTCTTTTGGGTTCTCTGCGGCCTGGCCCGTATACCAGCGCTTCAACACCCCAACATTTGACTATTATTCATAAAATGGATGCTAATATTATCCCTGGAGCAGCGCTTTTGAAATACCCGATTGGGATTATTGACCGTGTCACACACAAAACTACTGAATTAATCTCGCAACTCTGGGAACCGGGCGAAGACTTTAATAATGACTATACCGCTAGTTTAAGGGTGAGTTATGAAATCTCTGGATGGGCTTTTCGCTAGCTTTCTAGATTTTTGTTGCCATTTTTGGAGCCATTACCCTGTCCCCCGTCAGGCTGCGCAGGTTTACTGAGTAGATAATTATGGCTTTCTCGGCAACGAGAGTCCGGTTTTACAGCATGGCTGCGGCATGTATAGGGGGATGCCACTATTTTGGGACAATGAAACATTGGCTAGGTTATGGCTATTATATTGAAAATGGCAAGGTATTGCTAGAGTTTTCTGAAATTTGCTATATATTTTTTTGCAGGATCAAGCTGAAGCCGTCTCAAACCATACGCAGAAGGGCATCGAATTCCTCGAAAAAGTTGGAACGTACGCCAAGGAAAGAGCGGCCATAGAGGATGAGTACGCTGCTAAATTGAGGTATGCTGATTCTACTAAGTGGAGTTATTTTCGTTTAGAGCTTTGGCCAAAAAGAGCACCGGGAAGAAGAAAGAGGAAGAAGCATTCACCTATGTGCGCTCATTCTACGAGGTCTTGAAGGAACTGGAGAGTCTTGCTGCTCAACATGAGGTAAACCTTTTTTTTTCATCAACCCTGTAACGGCACTGTTGGCATTTCTCGTTTTTTATATATAAATCAATTTTAATCTTGGTTCTTAGGTGATCGCCGAACGTTTGCGCAAAGAAGTTGTGCCTCACATCGCTAATTCCACTTCAACGCATCGGCAATCACGAAAGCAATGCCTTGGTGATCTCCAACAGATCCACCAAAACCTCAATACAACGATGGAACACCACTTCAAGCAACAAAAGTCTTATGGGTTAGTTTTTTCGTCGAATAGTGTGAATCCATCTAGCGCTTCTTTTTATCATTCTTTTTCCAGCAAGGCGTTCAAGGAAGCAGAAGCGGCTTATCTCAAATACTACAAGGCCGAGAAGAACATGGAGATTAGTCGGCTCGACCTAGAGAAGGCAAAAACCAATGCGCAGGTATGCAATGAAAGTTTTATGGTATTCCGATGATTTAGACAAAGACGTACATGTGCGACCAGGCAAAGGCGGCGTCGATTTCAGCGCTGGAGGCGGCCAATCAAGCCCAGAATCAACACTATACCATACTTTTGCCGCAGGTCTTGGAAAGGATGAGGGTTAGTGCACTTATAATGATTTTTAACAATTTGTTGTCCTTAGAACGTTGATGAAGAACGGATTCGTGACACCAAATCCGCCATGGATCAGACGATAATGATCGAAATGGAAGTCGCGCCAGTTGTTGCCCGGTAAGAAAACAAAATATTGCTTCTCAAAACTGTTTAGTTGCCACAACGACATGAGGAACCACGTCTCGCAGATTAACGAAAATCGGGATAGCCTGACTGTGATAGATGCCTACAAGTATGTGATAAACCGCCAATTTGCAATAGTTTTTAGGACCGGGTACAAACATCCCAGCCCCTTCCCATTCGAGGATCTCGGTCGGCCAGAAGAAATCCTGACTGCCGGCCCAAATGGCGAGCCCGGGGATGGAACGCTGAAAAGGTACACTTGTGCTAGTCTAACTAACTTTGTTGTATAGGGGAATGCTTGGCGCTCCCAAGAAAGACGGCAAGGGCGTCTCCAGGAAGCAGAGCATGTTGCAGCAGAAATTCTTTGGCGGAGGCGAAAAGGCTAAATCGGTTTGTTTACGTCCGATTTTCTTTTATACGTTTTTAGGCTGATTCTGATTATGGAACTCTGCCGCCTCAACAACGCGCCCGTCGATTAAGCGAGAAGATTTCCCAGCTTGAGCTCGTCATGCGCAAAAATGTGCAAGCCCAGGAAGGAATCGTGCGTATGCAGGCGGTAAGAAAAATACTTTTTACTAATCTTTAAATTTCAGACATACAAGGAGAATCCTCGCCTTGGGAATCCTGCTGATTGCGATGCCCAACTTTCGCAGTATACGAAGGAAATCGAAAGCCTTCGCGTCGAGATCAGCAAGCTCACCGTTTTGCTGAATGCGGCCAATCGGGAAATGGGTATGTTTTTTTCGTCTCGATTATATTTTGTAAAAGATGAATTTCTTATGATATTTATTTTTTAGGAGGTGTAGAGACGCCAATGTCGGTGAGATCAGCAGATTCGGCTGCCCAGTCCATGACGTCTGAAAACTCCACGGAGCCAACACCCCGCCTGAACGCTAACGGACACTCAAGCCAGCGTACTTCTTACAGGTTTGTGTTTTCAAGTAATCTTTTGACTACTGGTCTTTTAATTAATATTTTGTATTCTTTTGTCAATAGGGACGCTTGACTAATGATATTCTTTTAGCGAAGACAGTGTCTCGAGCGCGGGCAGTCGAACCAATGGTCACGCTCCAATCGGCAGAGAAGAGGTGTGTCTTTAAAGGCTTGCGCTCATCACCTTTCTTTTAGGTCTACGAGGAGCCAACCCTTGGTACTTGTGTGGCCATCTTTGCATTCGACGGATCGACAGACGGGACGATAAGCCTGGTGGTCAATGAAGAATATTTGTTGCTAGAGAAGGTTTGTTTTTGGATTTATAAAAGTAGGAAGGATTGGTGTGGTTCTACCCCTAGTTTGTTGAAGTATTTTGTTTAGTTTATCTCTATCGTCTAATTTACATATTTATTAGCTTATACTTTATTTTTATAAATCGAGTTTGTTTTCAGGATGAAGGCGATGGGTGGACGCGAGTGCGCAAGTTACATGAAGCTCAGGAGGGTTTCGTTCCAACAAGCTACCTCAAGTGCAAATATTATCCGGAATGAGGCATCACCTACATTCAGTTAAAATTATTCTAAATTTAATTAATGCGCTGTGTTTTTATTCTAACGACTTATATTGTATCTGTGTTTTCAGTCAAAAACTTTTTTGCTAATCAGACTCATTTTTTTGAAAACGACTGTGTTTCCCCATTTCTTTCTCTTTGCTTCGCCGGTTGAAACATTTCCATTATTTTTTTGTGCCCCAGTTCGAATGTATGGAATGTTCCTAGTCATTGCGGACAAAATGTGCCTCTAGATATTTTGTAATTCGTTTGAATTGCTAGTGGCACGTGTGTATCCTCGGGTCCCCGTTTTTTTTTTCGCTGTACGAATGTTGTGTGAGATAAAAATATATCCTCTCGGATCATTGCACCTTCCCGCTTTCAACCATAGTTTATTTTCAAAAGTTCACGCGACTAAAAACTGATATGAAAACAAAGGGCATCGATAAAAAAAGTATCACAGATACACGTGATTTTAAGATGATAAAGATGAAGGACAGTAATCGATAAAATTAACGATGGGGGCTTCTTGGAGAGAAGTCCTCATCATTAGCTAATGGAGCTTTTCGGGTTGGGGTTTCAGATTGGCGACTTTGGTGGATGCTGCCCGATTCTTCCAATTCACTACCCCTTCTAGCTGCAGGAATTGTGGCAGTGGATGTGCTGGCCGAATCCACAATTCGTTCTTGTTTTATTACGTAGCGACGACGTGATGTTCCGCTGAAATGGATGGTATTTCACGTGAGAAATGAAATCTCGGAAGTAGTAAGAATACTTACACGCTCTCCCCATCGCTTTCCACTCGCCGTGTCGGGCTTACAGATATCCGGAAGCGTCGAGTCGGTGAGGCGGATCTCCGCATTTCATCTTGAGATTCTCCACCATTATCCGGGGTCGCCTACAACTTTATGAATCCATTGAATCTTTCGATTACCATTGATTGAGACATTTTCTTTGGAGATCTGATTTTTTCCGGGCTCAACGAGGCTTGTCTAGATTGTGAGGGACGAGATATGGGCAGTGGTGATCTCATTTGTAGTTGGCGGCGCCGTTCTTTTACCTAAAGTATAAGGGTAAATACATGTTTTTGGGCCGAACCTCATCTATTGACGGCCATGGCAGGAATTCTGGGGCTGTATTTTTCGGATCGTATTTCTTTGGTGATGATGGTTCATCCTCAATCCGGGGAAGCTGACTAAAGTGAGCTTGATCCGGGGAGACAGCGGCTTGTGGTGGTGACATCGGGCTGATTTCGGTTGATTCACGCTTTGTTTCTAAAGATTTTTATAATTTGTATTTTTAAAAAATTATTTATGAAATAGTCTTTAACCAGGCAAACCTTCTTCCAATGTCGGCTGCAAGGGTCGATGTGTCGGAACTCTTGGCGGTTCATCCCTCCTTGCCAATTTCCCACCACCAGATTGGATCATTCTAAAAAGCGTCGGCTTCAAAGGCAGTTTACAGCTCCAAAACGAAACATGGACAATTACACCGACAAACACATGCGGATATGGACATACAGGGGAAGGCCAGTCTCTTCGTTAGTGAAATCATAGATGGAAATGTAGGACGACCGCTTGCTCGAACGTCTGAACAATTCGGGGTTTAAGGGAAATCAACATAAATTGAAAGTTTTAGGTAACAGATTTTAGGAGTTGTCATGCGGGTTTGATACAGGAAAGTTTTGTTGGATTCCACTCATTTTACATGTTTTGACTTTGCCAAATTAAGCAATTAAAGACCTAGAGCCTCCAGCAAAGACGAGGGTTGGTGGTGAAGCGATGTCCTTCGGGAAGCCCTTCAGGATTGATGAGGTTGTCGACAATCTACCCTCCATCAATGGCTTGATAAGGCTTCTAAACAGTTCAAAATGGCACACTTAAACATGAAAAACGCGGACGAGGCGATGTAGTATTCAAATGTACCTAATCTCTTCCGGTGTCGCAATTTCCACAACATTACTGTGAACGTCGAACGAACGATTTGAAGGCGAGTCTCTCATTGGTCGGGACTAGAAAGAATCTAACAGTTTTGAGCCCTAAAATCTACCATTTTCTCGGCACTAGCGCTATGGGAATGTGAACGGGATATGGGATCCGAATCTTTTGGTGGTGAGTGTTCGCTACTGTGCTCGGCAAGTGATCTAAAATTTAATTTGTATTTTTCTAAGGATATTGCAAACCCCAGGCTTGGCTGATAATGTGGGATTGCTGCAAGGGTCTCGGCTGTATTTGAGATTGCTGGAGGTGGTAGTGGTCTTGTCGAGGTTTCTGGACTTTCCGGTATTTCTTCCACTTCTGTGTCAGATTCAGAATCGGAAACAACCAGTGATTCATCGAGTTCGCGCTAAAAAAGAAGTTTAAGATAGTTTTTGGATTCTTTTACCCCGTTGTACTGACGCCACGGTTGTCGCCGCTTCTTTTCGATGTCAGTGAGGTATTGTAGGGGTTGCGGCTTTTTCTTGTCCTTATCACGGTTGACTTCTGGCTTTTTCTTTGCACCGCCACCGGCAAGTTCAAAGATCTTCTTCTTCTCTTCAGTGCGTTCCTAAAATATAAAGTAATTCCTACTTTTCAGAATGGAATTACATGAATCAATTGCTGTTGTAAATCCGTATTCGCCGCTCTCAAACCGGTGACCAGGGATGTCAAAAAATAAATTATCAGCCTGAACATTTCTTGATCTTTTTAATTAATAAAACTTACACAAGGAAGATGATGATTGGGATAACAACTCCAGGAGATGCGATATGCTTTGCATACGCCAGAATTGTCGCATCCACCCTCCGTTCGATCAGCTCGGTTACCACGGTATAAAAACCGTCGCGCCCACTTAAAAAAGATATATACACAATAAAGAAAAATACTGAAAAATAATAACAATAGAAATGAAATACTTACGCAAATGGTCCACAATTCGCAGATGGTTTTCGGCTCCCAATGACATATCCAACAGGCAGGGTACACATTAATAGCCATAGGAGAAGGATCGTCAAATAGAAATTGGAAGATCTAAAAATTATTATGAATTATGGTAATTAATCATTGATCATTGCGATTTTCTGCCTACCCTTCATAGCCAATTTTGGATAACGGTGTTATCCTCTTCTTTGCGACCCAAATTAAAATAAAACAATCCATAGCTAATCAGAATAAATCGATAGTGGATTCGTTCGCGAGTGTGAAATGGCAGTTTCCGTTTGGCTCAAACGCTTCCCCCCCCCCCCCCCCTCATTGCGCGTCACCTGTTGCATTTGTAAATTTGGCGGACCCCGTTCATTGGCCACGAGGCTTTTCCGGTTTGATGAGGCAGCTGGCTATTGGCCAAAATTCTTTACGATTATGGGTTTTGAGCAGCTGTCATTGGGGATTTGTCAATTAGGAATAAGGCTAGAGAGAAAGAGCGAGAGAGAGAGAGAGAGAGAGAGTGAGAGAGAGACAGATTGCTTTGCGGGGAGGGGGTATAATAACCTGCAATAAAACCCTTTCACCACCCACCTTGAAGCCCGAAAAATCTCTCGTGCCGGCACATTACAGGTCATACAAGCCCAGCCACGCAGATACAACACGATGATCAGCTTGATGTTGTTGAGAAACGGCAGCAACGGAGCGAAAAATAACCCTAAATCACGTTTCCAAAAATTTAATTTGTGTTCTCACCCAGCCAAATCATCCCCTGATTGTTGATGATGTGCAGCACATTTTCGGCCACTTTGAACTCGCCGTATTCCGGCTGAAAAATCGTAATATTGTTTGGCCAGAATTTTCATACGAATGTGGTTTCGATATCCCAGCACCACCAGCTTGAACAATACTTGATCCAGAGCCCACGGACAAAGTCGATCAACAGGATGGAGAGAATGGTGACGATCAAATCCATGGTAACGAGTTTGACAATTTCCTAGAATTATCAGGATTTTACAACGGAGCGTAACGTACTTGTCCAATCATTGTTTCCCAGCACAGCTGGTCCGCTGGATTTTCTTCGTCCTTGCGATCTCGCCGTTCAGCCGCGAAGGGTCTTCCTACTATAACTTTCTTATTAATCTGACTTTATAAATCTTATTTATTATTTATGGATTTGGACAATAGTGCGTTTGTTATAATTATTATATTTTTATTTTAGTGTTATTATTACTACTATGGTTATTTCGCTATATGATTCGGTTCCGACCTGGTGCCGTCGGGTTGTGCGGCAGCTTGACCAGCGCTCCATTTGACCCGGTGATATCTTCAATCTTTTCGGACGACTTATCGGGCTAAATTAACAAATTAAGTGGATTCTTTAGCCAAACCTTGATCGTAATTGGGCGTAATGTGGTTGTAGCACGTACGCCCCTCAAAAATTCAGCCGAATCCTCATCGTTCTCACTGTTCGACGGCTTCTTCTTGGTGGTGCCAGTGGTTTTTGGTCTTGTCGGTGGGGTAGGTTTTTTGGTGGTTGTGGTAGTGGTTGTCCCAGGTGTTCTTCGGTCCAAGGGTGATCCAGCACCAGCACCACCCGGTTTTTTCCAGCTGGGTGTTTCGCGCCCGATGAATATTGGCTTTGGTGAAGTTGTTGTTGGGAAATCCGGGCCGCCGTATTGCTGGAATAATTGTCATATTGCTAATTCAGAAGCTTTCTCGATAATCATAATTCAAACTTTTCAAAACCGCGAATGCTGGAGAAAGGATTTTTGCAATTTGAAAATTTCGATGGGAGCGAATGTAACTCTCCAGAAACCTGAAAGTTAGTTCAGCCTATGGAAATTTCATGCAAATTTGGGGTTCGAAAATTCCGTATTATAGTTATGAAATTCTGATAGGAGCATTTAATTTCGATGCGACTTACTTGTTTGACTTTTCCTGGTATAAACGGGAAGGACCGTGGCGGTGGTGTGAAAAGAGGGCCTTGCAGATTGGGACCAACTTTTGTGGTCTAAATAATTCCTTAGTATTCAAACGTTATCAACTTACAATAAATGATCGTGAATTGGATGCGTTGTGCCGGATGACATTCGGGGAGTGGATATTTACGGGGCCGAATTGGGGTTGGACGGTAAAGGGAGTGGTGGCGAGACCTCGAGTCGTCCGTCGATCTCCTCGGACGGTGGCTCGAGAGGTATGGCCCGGACTGAATTAAAATTTATGACTCAAGGTACTAAATATAAGGTATAGATTGTTAATAACAATAAATTTTTTACCGTCGTGTTGTCAATTCGTACAAATAAGCATCAAATTCGGAGCGATCGTTGAATTGCATACTAGCGAATGGAGGTGGAGCTGGCTCATACTAAAGTAGTAGCCTTACAAATTTTTTCATTTTTACAAAACAGTAGTTTTATGGTAATTTTTAACCTATATACAATAATGTGCAACTTACTGGACTCCATGGATTCCCTCCCATTTGCCGTTTCCCTCTTGGATGTGGATTTGGGTGACTCCGCTTCTCGATCTCCGCATCAAGCTTCTCAAATAACGCTACGATCAGTGTCACATAATTCACGAAATAGAGGATGAGCACTCTAAATTTAATTTAATAAAATATACCCAGGTTTCCTTACCTTCCAAGGTGAGCGCGCAATGCCGTTCTCGGATGATATCGTTCCATTTTACCAACCAAATCAAAAATCATAGGAAAGACGTGTGTGATTGTGGCAACGACGGAAGGCACCTATACACGTAAAAACAAATAAAAATAGATTTTTACCTGGTTCTTGGTGAAGAGATCACCCTCTTCTTCTAGAATCGTCTTTGACCGGTTCACAGCTTTCACAATGCAATAGATAGAGAAGCCAAGCATGGAGAAAATAATTAGATTTGCTAATATTCGAAGAAGCACTTGGACGCATTTCATTTTGTTGCGGGCCCCGACACGGCATTCAGCAATTGATTCCTAGAAATAATTATAAAATAAAAAAGGTTCTTTTGCATTAGTGGGGGAGGTTATGTAAGTGCCTACCTACCTCCTACTCAGTCCCAAACTTAGCATAAGTAATGAAAAAGTTTTTAATCTGTTTGTTTACTGCATATGGATATTTCAAACAAACTATCAAGTTTTGAAAGCTTTTGTAACGTTTTATTTTCATTCCTGACGTTTAATTATGGCAATTTTTTAAATTTTATACAACTAACGACGTTTTTACCCCCCCCCCCCCGATAAAGAGCAAGAACCCAAAAATCCAATATCCTTACCCTCAATTTAATAACAACCGCCATCACGGTATTACTAGCAGTATCCTGGTTGCCGATCGTATAGTCCCAGCCGGTGAAAACACGCCAGTTAAAAATGTATTGATCCGCTTTACTCCCAGATAATTTCGACATCCGGGCGTTTTGTGCCATTCTAAAAAGCATACCGTAAAACTGAAGCCAAACTCACTTCCGTAAAATTGCAAAAAAGCTATATCCAAATATAAATAGGGTGACTATAAAGTAGGCGAGCGGCAGAGCATATTTGACTTTTTGACCCGAGTATTCGTCGTTTGAATAATACCCATAGAAAAGAGGCGAGTAGCGAAGGTAGCCCTAAAAATGGATGGAATATTAATTGTTATAGCTAATAATTGAACAACTGTACCAATTTAATAATTATATTGCTATATACCCACATCAAAATGCCAAACAACAGCCAATTTATCGGCGTGCGCTTTTTCCAATGGCGGTATCTCCTTCCTTCCCATTGTTCTATTTCTACGAAATGTATCAGCAGCAGCATCAGCTAGCGCCTAAATATTTATAGATTTAATATGTAATTAATAAATCTATTAAAAATATTATAAGTTACCTCAGGCGCAACAACGAAGCAAACAACAATAAGCGTAACGATGATATTGACGAAGATCAGCCATCGAAGGAATGTGAAATATGAGGAGACGACCGAGCCGAAATGGCCTAAATAAATCTTATATTTCAATCTAAGCCTTAAATTTACTTTCTATCCGCTTGATCTTGCCCTCCCAAGGTATCAAGTAGGTTTTGAAGTTGTCAAAGCTGCGCTTCAACAATTTCAAGGCTTTTCTTAATTCCTCTTTGTAGAGATGGGTCTTGGATATTTTCGATTCATGCTGTTCCAAGTATTTTTGTGCCAATCTAAACATTTAAATTGAGATTAAAAAATTTCCGTTTATACTTGAGGGTTCGTCTTTTTCTTCCCATACTCCAGGGTTGCATTCTGAGCTTCCCGATAACTTCCTTCTTCTGTCGGATTTTATTGAGAAGGTCTTGCCTGGAAAATAGTGTTTTACCGCTTTAAATAGCTTTATTAAAATCGTATAAAACGTTTTACTCATTCAAAAATATACGTTTTGTCAATAGGATAACAGAGAATTTTTATATCCAAAGATATCAAACTATTGTAACAATTTTCAAATTACCTCGTAACCGGCTTCCCCTCGTTATCTTCCTCATCTTCCTTCTTTTGCCCAAAGATGTTCTCAGACTCACTAAAACTTCTTTGGATGACGGTGATTGGTGGGTAAAGTAGGGGGAACTTTTTGCCCGCACCTGTCAGCTATCGACCCCCAGCAATCCGTTAGCTTCAACCGCTCTCAGGGGGTAAAGCCCGGGTAACCCGACAGGGAGAAGCGTAGTAAATTGTTATCTTGTCAACAATTTGATCATGGATGAGCCGGTGGCCAATTTTGCGTTTTGTTGTGGACACGAGGGATGCGTGCTGGGGGGGAAACCACAGCTGACGCCTGGTCGGGGGCTAATTCTTGGGGCGTGTGGTGATCTGGGGTAGGAAAAAAAGCGTGAATTACGTTCTGTCGCTTGTAAATAGGGGGAAAGGAGGAGGTTGAGGGCAGACCGGGGGTGGAGGGTGGGTTGTTTGTTGCCGGGAATTTGATGGAATTTAAGGAATGGCGTGGGAAGTTGAGATCAGCAATTGGGTAAAGGTTTCTTAACGGGGGGCTATACCGGATGGAAACGAATTTACTATTTTTGGGCATTATTCAGGTTTCTGAACAAGAGTTATAGATAGAGAGAACGAGAAAGAGAGAGAGACATAGATAGAGAGAGCGTGAGTGAGAGAGAACGAGTGAAAGAGTGATTTCCTCTCAAAAACCCACGATCCTTCCCATCTTCGTCATGCTCGCTCGTCGAATTCAAAGCGGCCGTCTGTCTCTGCTTTTTAAGTGCAATTGTATTCCGGCGGAATACAGTGAGCAAATCTTGGAATACAGATCCTCGTCGGGGCAGACTGCTGTCCGAGGAGACTTTGGAACCCTTGTCTTGAGCCGGCAGTGATATCGACACCTTCCCGTTCCCATCCTTCACGCTCATCGCTTCTCAGGCCAACAGCACATCTACGCACCGGGTTACGGTGGGAAATTACGGTACAAAGGAGGTGTGAAAAATAGGAAATTGGAGATGGTTTATGAAGAATTTGATCATCTATGCCAATTTTTATGCAGAGGCTTGATTTCCTCAAGAATAAAAAGCCGCTCAAACCAGGATTAATAAAACTCTGATAGCCCCACCTTTCTGCTCATAGACTTTTATGCAAATTTCTATGCCAAGCTCAAAATTTTCGTGCTTCAATTCCCATTGGAATATCGCAAAATTGCCGTAAAAATTCGGAAAGTAGCGTAATAACCCCGAAAAATTAATAGTCCCGTTGCGAAGAACACGTAACCCTAATGCGCAAGAAAATCAGAGACTTCAGACGCGCATCGGCCTGTGTTTTTGAGGGGGTGGGCCAGCTTTTTTGGTGGCTCAAACGGGGGGTGAAGCATACGAACAATGCATTCAGCGCCCTCCAGGGAATGGTTGCGTATCTGGCAGCGCGGGATTTTTTCGGAAAGCGCTGCCCTTTTCCGGCTACCCCGAAACAATTGCCAAGCGGAAAAGAGGGATTTTGAGAAAGAGACATATGGTGCTAAAGGGTAGATGGGTGGGGTGGGTGGTGGTGGTGGTGGAAAAGGTGAGGCTCAAGCTCATATGTGTCGGAAATTGAGAGGCGGGATGAAAAGGGGGGATCGAGGAGGGCTCGTTGTTTCTGTCGATTGGGGCAGGCATGTGCTCAATCAAAGGAGTCCCAGGGCGGCCCATAGCTCAGCACCGGACCAACGGGGGGAATCCACCTTACTATACGAGAAAGGCGATGAAACAGGCTGGTAGGTTTTAGGTTTTCTAGCGATTCATGCGAAATGTCCAAAATCCGGACGGAAGGGCAGCTTCAGAATACCTGATTTTCTGATTTTTTTTGGCTTGCGTTCTCCGTGTGGTGGCTTTTTTAGATAATTTTTTGATAAAATGAGAAATCAAGGCCAGCAGTGAGTTTGAGCATACCTCTATATGTAAATAAACTGGTCGAATGGATTCCTTAAAAGTAGTAGATGACTTAAATTTGAATATCTGCAGCATTTACATCGTTTTAATGCTATTTTCTTATGAAAAATCTTATTTAAATTGTGTTTTTACCAAAAAGTCCTTAGAGAAGTTTTACTCGCTATTTTTTAACTATGTCAAGGTCCGTCCCCAAAATCACACCTAAAGGTTCTAGATTTTCTATTTTTTTGCACTTCTTACACGGTTCTCATTTTTCCCACCCTCACACCCTCGTATTTCGATCCAAATTCCAAAAAGCGGGTCGGGGTCGACCTTCCCTCCCTCAACTCCACCCGGGCCCACTTCACGGAGGCAATCTTTCAGCCGGCTCCTCTTTCTAGCCCCCCGGCCGGCCCTCTAATTTTATTATTCGCCCCGTCAGCCCATTGTGCTCGTCTAGCCGGTGCGAGATTTTTTTTGGGATCTTGTGGCGGCAGATAGCATTTGTGATGCTGACCCCGATGCACGTATTTGACTCTAGACTTCCCTTGGGTGTTGCCCAGCAGGGGTAGTGGCAACTGGTCGCGCGTCTCCTTAATTAACAAACAAACCGGGGGGCCATTGGGGAAAAGCCGAGCCGTAGGGGGGCATAAAACTACGATTAGGGACGGCTGAGCGGTCCGGACGGGCATTCGGGGAAGGGCCACGAAACCCAGCAGGTAACTTGACCTTTCCGCCGGACAAATATGGTGTCCCCCCCACAAACTATTTTACGCACCTTTGCACGTTGCCACCAAGGGTTTTGTCTGGCAATCTAGTACGTTTATGGGGGGTAAGGGTGGCTAGACCCTAGAACATTGAATCGAATTTATCATTTTCTGGGGCCAGAAATTCAAATTCGGGTACGAAGGGCGGAGGAGCCAGACGAAATGGAGCGTGGGTACAAATCACGAAAATGGGAGATTTTCAGGTTGCGCGTCAACGGGGGGGGCACCGGATTTATGGGTGCAATTTTGAAGGGGTGCAGAACAGATAGAATTGAGGGGAGCTAGAGGTTGGCCTAAAAAAGGGAGATATGGAACGGATTTGCAGTTATTAAGGTATGTAGCTCAATAGTAAACTGCTTTAAAATAATTGGCTTAAATCCTGACCGGACCTTAGCCTTAATATGGCCTAGGGCCATTAACTCTAAATTGCTTTATGGTAATTAGCTCAAAGCCAAATTACTCCCCAGTTTTTATATATTCAAATTCCGATCTCGTGCTCCTTCGAACGCTGGCCAGCCCTTTTTCGAGCTCCCGGGTTCGAGCGTAGAAAGAGAGGGGGAGGCGATGATGGTGGCTTATGCTGGGGGAGAACTCCTTGGGGACTCTAGGGAGGCTGAGGTTCGGACATTTGTGAGGACATGCAAAACGAGGGTTGCCCGACATCGATCCCGGCATGTTGATATTGTTCGAGAGGAGTGAGAATATCCGGTTCAATGTTGTTGGGACTGAGATGAGGAGAGGAGATTTGGTTTGTTAAAATAGGGGCTGCAAGAAAAAGATGCAGGTATGCATTAATTAAAAGAAAATCATCGACAAGTGGGTCTAAAAATCCAAGAGTGCCGCCGGATTACTGTAGGGATAAAAATGTATTTTATAACATGGTTTTTTTTGTTAAAAATTTTCGAATTTAGGGAAACTTCTTAGAAAAAAAAGAATATATTTTGAAAGCACGGTTTTTACCTACGTATCTAATTCCAGATCACCATGTAGCCCATCAAGGTATAAAAACCCCTTAGATTTGCATCCACAACGGTTAAAAACAATTTCAAAATAGCCCAAAAATCATTCAAACTTCAAAAAACACTCACCCAAACGCATAAAGAATATCGAAGAGCTCATCATCGAGTGTGAGCTTGGATGAAGCACGGTCGCCGAGACTGCCTTCGCGCCATACGACACCCCGCGGATCCGTGGATACTTCCCTAAAAACATTTCTCGTTAAGGTATGCAAATTTTTGAAGGCCAATGCTTAGCTTCCATTTTTCTACGCGACTTACGACATCGGGTCGGTCGAGCTCATCGAACAACATTGGCTTTACAGTGGGACGCTACTGGGAGGGATGTGTTCGGTTTGTAGGATAGTACGTAGCTACTCGTACGATGGTCAAAAACCCCCAGCACCACCAGCAAGTCCAGAACGACCAAAAAGAGAAGGTGGTGGTGGTAGAAAGAAGGGGGGACGACGTCGTCGCCTAAGGGCAGATAAGTGCGGAGACCGAGACGCAATGCTCCCCTTCACTTCCCCCAATTACATGGGTGCCTAGGGTGTGCCGGAATTTGTCTGTGGGCCCTATGGACGGACGCTGCTGGGGCCCAGGGCAGGTTGGAATGGGCCGCTGCTTCACAACGTCTTGGAATCAATTCACCCCTCATCGAAAAACCCGAAAAAAACGATGGCCGATGGGCCATTTACACCGGTTCGCCCCATTTCGAGGGGTGGGCGGCTCGTTGGGCGCGTTCAAATGGATTATGCAATATGGGTGTGGGGACCTGGGCTGGGATTGGGGGGTATTGGCCTTAAGATCGGCGCTTTGACGGAAATATATACCCAATTCAAAATTTAAGAATCATTTACTAGGCCAAATATTACTGTTGCTTACTTTCCTAATTTCCTTCTTTAAATCAGGTAATGTATTTTTATATTTTTATCCTTATACAATAAAATTACCTAATTAAATCAACTATAATAAAAAAGTAGTGGTGTCTGTCTGTCTGTCTGTCTGTCTGTCCGTCATGTCCCGAATTCAACTCGAAGGGGAAAGGAGCTAGAGCTTAGCTCTCTTCGGATTCGGATAGAGCATGGTCAGAAACCCCCAAACTGATAAAAAAATTATGAAAAAGTTTTAATTTAAATTATTAAAATTAACTTTGAAAGTTTTTTCCTTAGTAATAGGGGTGGGGGGACGGAGGTTGGACATAGTGAGCCAGGTGGCGCGCGTTTCGTGGATGAAAATTTTCACGGGGGATTGCATTTCTTTTTTTCTCTCATTCCATCCGGTCGGTCGTTATTTTCGTTTTTTTTAAAACGATTTCGGCTAGGGGAGGTATCTAAAGCCATCAGGAAGGTATTTAGGTAGTTTTTGAAAGGGATTTCGGCTATGGGGGGGTATCTGAAGCCGTTAGCGTGGGTATTGTTGGAGGTAGGGAAGGATATGGTGGAGTAGGACATGTAGGGTAGCCCGAAGGCCAGATGGTTGCAGTCGCGAAGCGACTGTAACCATCTGGTATTACTATAAATATAGTTAATTCCAACCTTAATACAAGACGCTTTGCCGGCATCAAGATCAAAAATTCAGAATGGCTAGGCGGGTTTGTTTATGGGGGTCAACGGGGTGTGGCGCTCGGGCCTAAGACGGCGGCTCAATTTAGCTCTTCGGTTATTTCAATGAATTTTAATGCAGCTGTTATTTCGTTTTGAGGGGACGTGCATTTTGGGTAGTGCGTCTTGAAGGCGGATAATTTTAATAAGGCTGCCGATGCGGATTTTAGACCGATTAAAAAGTGGCAGTGATCATCATTTGCTAAAACCCCGCGTACGTCGTTAAAACCAGATCCGGGAGTCGATCAAAAGCTCATTTCCGTTTCCGACTTTCAAATATGATCTTGAATTTTATTTAGACCAAAATTCCAAAATTCCAAACACTAGTTAAGTCAGGTTAGTTTCACTAGATAAAATGTTTGCTATCACTCTTACCCAAATATGCTCCTCGTCATTAGCAGTGCTGTGCGGGTGCACGAACACTGAGCGCCATAAAGCGGCTCATAGGATTCTGATCAGCCTGCGTCTCTTTCGGAATAGTATAAAAACTTGAATCGAAGGACTGCTAGACTTTAAGGAGCAACAACTCGAACAGGGCTTCGATAGGTGTATAACGTAGTAAGTGTGTGAGGGTGGATTCGAGTGGAATAGAAGAAGAAAGAAGAACGGAATGGGATGGAATGGGGGGAGATGGAGAATGAACCTGGAGTCGCGGTCGTGGCGAAGGGAGGCCCGTCGGTTGGCGGGGGAGGGGCCGCCGAGGGCTGTTGGAAGAAGTGAGGGTGCAACTGCCCCAGCCACACCACGACATACCACTGATGCACGCAGCGGTACCATCCTGTAATAACCAAAACATCCTTTTGATGGATTTAGAGCACGACATTAAGATTTTTTGATTTAACCGTAGATGCTATTTACATATATAACTCTTTCCGGGTTGACAATTACAAGGCGAGGTTTTTAAGGGACTGGGATATAGGCGTTTTAGAGGTGTTGGCGTCTCCTACAATATTTCACAATTGTTTTAATGATTATGACAAACAAAATATGCCCTATTTTATATAACCAAATTCAATTGATCAAAAGACAAAGTAAGAAAAACCACAGAGAAAGATGATTTCCCACTACAAAGTTTTTCTGAACCCGGATTAACCTTTATCAGCTTCTAGTTTTCAGATTTTTCGGATCCTGAAATTTGTCCCTTGGTACTTAATCTTAATCATTATGGCAATCGAAGATACTTAACTTCCTGTTCTCGAAATTGAAATCCAATATAATATTGCTTGTAACCAACAACTAATTTTGTAAAAACTTAGAACACTCTAAATTATTTTATTCAGAAGGCCCAGCTCTCACATGTTCTCCCGGAAAAGGACTATGTTTTCTTACTTCTTCATTTTTCACGACGACATAATTTTTTGAACCCAAATCCGACTGGCCCACTGAACTCTGCAAACTTTCCAGACGACACTTTTCTTTCCCACTTCCCCCTCTTCTCGTCGAATCGAATATCTCATCAATTTTCGACGTCAATTTCCTTCCAACATCCACCCTCACGTTATTTGTTATGCTCGGGTCAGGACCGATGTGGGGGCAAGGAAGAGACGGGCGCAAAAAAGAGGGTATGTTATGAATAGGACTTCCCCTCGGGACCATCCAGCCCCTGCTAAATGTTGCCCTTCATCGTGGAACTAACCCCCGGGAACATGGGATGTTAATTTTGGGACCCACACTCTCCCATGCCCCCCTCAAAAAGTCCAATAATACAACTCACTCCGAACGGGTGATCTCGCTCATCCGTTTTGCATTCCGAAATCTAACCGATTCGTACATATTGAACATGATAGAACAGTCCGATTGAGTGGGAATATATCAGTAATCGTCTGGCTAGCAGGCTTCGAAAGGAAATGGAGCCCGCTTTCGACGGTGGTTGGATACTAACCCACACATTCCCATTTTACGAGGTGTTTCGACCCTCTAGCGCAACCTGGGGTCCACTTTCAATTAAGGGAGGGTTTTCTAGGGTGGGGTAGCCTCACGGGGTTATCTAGCATCTAGTGGTGGTGGATTGGCTGACTTTAGTGCAGTTGCTTTCAATGTTTATGCCACTAAGTGCGATGCGTAACTCGATTAAATATGTGGATTTTCGAATCCTAACGCGATTTCGGGATTATCCACGCGCTAATACCTGCAAAATTATTGGATTAAAGGGACGTTGCAGCCTGAAATGGATTTGGCCTGGGATTTTTTACCGATCTTTTATCATTAAATTCACCAACACCATCCCTTTCTCGAACTCCGCCGTCTGGCGAGCATGAGTCATTGTGTGAGAATGGGAAGATGTGAGCACAAGGGGGTGGGATGGGGATGTGAGGACGGGTGTCTGGGCCCCCGGTGACAGATTTGACCCAGGGGGCGAATCAGGAAGATGCCCCGCTAGAAAGGTGCCCTCACCCACAATGTTCAAACCACCACCAACACACCGACTGACTCGTTGAACGCTTTTGGTCGGTAAATCGGGAGTTCAAAGAGTGTCAGTACTGGTGAAGGTGGAAATGTTATCTAAAAAAGCGAAAGGGATACTTCCTAAAATACCAACAAAGATTTTTTAGCAAAAAATGGCCCCGAAACTCGAAAAATGACTTTGAGGTAAAATGTGCTCGCTGGCATTATACGCCGTAATGCAAAGATCAAGCCTGCACCAAGACATTGATGTAATCGTTCAAAGCCGTAAGATGACGTAGCTGTAATTTCTAAGATGGTGAAAATAAGGATCTAGGTGAAACGATATTAGACACTCAAAAAAAACGATCGAAATTGGCATGGAAAGGGGTGGAAGCAGGAGAATGAGGAAACGAGGAAGAGAGCGCTTGGATCAAAAGGAGAGCAGAAGCGTATTAATTAAACTGAGAACGTCGAGTCAACGGATGAACGTATGAGGGAAATTTTGCAGATTGACCAATCGGGTTGGAACGGTCAGAACGTCATAAAAAATGTGTGGTATGCATGTATGCACATTTTGTAAGTTGGATAATCCTAATCTAATCCTATCCAAAAACCCAATTGTTTTTGGGGTGACTAATTAAATTCAACTGTTTTAACGGGGTGTAATTTGTTTCGGATCTGGCCTTGGGGGGGGGTTGGAGGGGCCCCATAATATTTAAATCATAAAAAAATTTTTTTATAAAATTTTTTTATTTTTATTTTTTTTTCTTCTTTTTTGATTTTTTTTTGGGGGGGGGGTGGGGGGGGTGGGGGGGGTTGTTGGGCTGGTGGGGGGTTTTTGGGGGGTGGTTTTTTTTTAATTTTTTCTTTTTTTTTTTTTCCCTTCCCTCGTGTTCTTCCTGTTTTTTTGTTTTTTTTTTCCGGCTTGGGGTTTTTTCGTTTTCTTTGGGTTTCTTCCCCGGGGTGGGGTGGTTTTTTTTGCGGGGGGGGTTTCTTGGGGGGGTTTTGGGGGGTTTCGGGGGGGGGTTTGTTGGTGGTGTGGGGGGGGTGGGTCGCGGGGGGGGTTTTTTTTGCGGGGGGGGGTTTTTTGGGTTGTTTTTGGGGGGTTTGGGGGGGGGGGGGGATCCCGGGGACGCGGGATGTTTTTGGGGGGGTTTTGGGGGGTTTTGGCCGGGGGGGGTTTCCGGGGGGTGGGGGGTGGTTTGGGTTTTTTTGGGGGGGGTTGTGCCCCGGGGGGGTTTGGGGGGGTGCTGAGGGTTTTTGGTGGGTTTTGGGGGGTGGGGGCGGGGGGGGTTTGGGGGCGGGGGGGGGGGGTTTTTGGGGGGGGGTGGGGGGGTGGGGGGGGGGGGGTTTGGGGGGGCGGGGGGTGGTGTTTTGGTTTTTGGGGGGGGTTTGGGGGGTTTGGGGGCGTTTCCTGGGGGGTGGGGTTGTTTTTTTTTTTTTTTGGGGGGTTTTGGGGGGGGGGGGGGTTAAAGGAGGGGGGGGGGGGGGTTGCTTGTTGTGGGGGGGTGTTCGGGGGGGGGGGGGGGGGGGGGGGGGGGGGGGGGGGGGGGGGGGGGGGTGGGGGGGGAGGGGGGGGGCGGGGGGGTTGCAGTCGCGAAGCGACTGTAACCATCTGGTTAAATTAATAATATCCAGGGATTATTACGGTAGAAACTCCTTAAAACACTTTTTGTTTAGCATAATTTTATAACTTTTGTTAAAAAACGCACCCCTTGGCTGCAGCATCTTTCTTCTTTGCTGCCGCCTTTAATTTCTTCATAGCATTGTGAATATAGAAAAATATAAATACTAGCAGCCAGTGCTACTATGATACCAAGTGTATGTGGCCGTTGAGCCCTGATCTGTTGTATGGCTCAAACGGTGGAACAGCGGGGCTGACCGTCGTCAAACCTCAAGCCCCCTGGCCGAGTCCGGCAGACCAACCTCAGACCCTGGGGCTCCCCCTTTCTTTTTAAAAAGCGTTTTGAGGGCTCATGTCAACTTGTGGCCCACTCCGGCGACAAATGTCCCTTGTACGCACATTCCCGAGTACCCTTCCCTTCTTTTCTCAAGCCGGCTAGCGCCACACGGGGCCCCTGGGTTTTAGTTGGCAGTGAAGGAAGAAATCTGAGCCGTTTTAGCTTGGCCGGTTGAGGAAGCGACGGGATGATCGGGTTGGGTTGGATTTTGGCCAAAAATAATGCAGGTAGCAGGGTGTGAAAGATAAACAAATGTTGTTTTTTGAAGTGGTTTTTCAAGGATTTGCGATTTTTGGTCAGAAAATTAAAGCCAATATTTATGATAGCCGTCAAGGCAATTGTTAAACAAAGGCAAATTACAAAGCCTACGTATTACCCGTTTGCTTCAATTCTTTTACGAAAATATTACCGACAAAAAACAATACTGTATGCTAAATACTTGAAAAAGCTGCCGGAGGATCGCGTTTAGGTTGAGTTTTCAGAAACATAATACAAATTAGATAACACAAAAAACACAATTTTTCAGGGTTTTTCCCTAAAACTAAAGAATTTCAAAAATGTCAGCTCAATTTATCGATTATGTCAAAAAGCTAAACCCCCCGACTTACTCCTCATCCTTTTGTTTCCGCCGATACCGTAATATAGCCCGTAATGCCATCTGTAGTGCAAAAATAGAGACTAAAAATCCTGCCCACCAACCTAACCTCCCTTATGGAAATCGAGCTGCCCAAATTGGGTTTGTTCATTGCGTCCAGTTTCTACCGGAAAGGAGGGTGCTGTGCAAGCAATTGAATCTTCTGGGCGCCGCTTTGAACGGGGGAAGAAGAACACAAAAAGGGTAATCATCCCCAAACTTACTTGATAACTATCCCATTTATGGTGAGGATCTGGCTCATTTCCTAGGTGAAAGTTGACGGGAAGCCGACGATTCGACCCGGGAGGACATCTTCAACTGACGACATTCTGGCAGACTCACACACACACCACATACACGCGACACACACAGACTCTTCTCTCTCTCTCCCTCTAGTCCATTCCCGGAAAACAAATGTGAGAGCTGTGACCCCGGGGCAAATGTTGCAAATGTGCCCGAGATTTTGGGAAAGAAAGCTGACTTACAACGATGCAGAGGATTTTCGTGCTTCTTCGTTTGGAGCGCGGATTGAGCGAGTTCTGAAAAGGGAATTCAATGGGTCTGTTGATATTTATGTAGATTATTTTCAATAGGTATTAATAAATAACTGAACAAACGCATTCTAGCGTTTCAATGCAAATACCATTGGTTTCGTCTAGGGCTTTTAAAATCCGTTCCACTTCTGAGAAATTTCGTAATTAACTCCCGCATAACTAGCGCATGGTAAAAACTAAATAACTACAGTATCCAACATAAAAACAACCATAAACCGACATAATACGATTCGTAAGAAAACCCAACCTCCCGAAGCCCCAAAAAGTGGCTAATCTAAAGCTACCGAGGCGAAACTTTCACCGACCTGCTCAATCCGCTACTGGGCCTCGATGCATCCATGTGTACGCAACACTCCGAAACGGCCAATTTCACTACCAAAGCTACTAGCCAGCCCCTTCTAGCTGCTCAACGTCGACGACGAGCGGGTTTTTCGGAAGTCGCCCTAGCCGTATTGAGAAAATTGGAAGGCGGCGGGTTGGGAGGACTGTCATTTCCGGCCTAGGGAAGTACGGGCCGATGCGCACGGAATCTGGGACGGGGGGCGATGGGCTACTCCAGACATACACGGGGGCGGTTCTCCGGAGAAAGGCATAAAGCCTTAGCTCTCATTAGTACGATTGAGTGTCAGGTCTTTTTTGCAAAGAATTGTCTGGTTCCGGGTTGAGTGACAGTGGATCAAAAGGTAATGCAGTTGTTTTGATGCCGATGTGAGGTTTATCTTGTGGATTTTATTCTGCACTCATGCACAAACATCAATTTATTCCCACGCATACGAGCTCGAATAATTATTATCCAATTTCGGCATTGGCTTACAACAACAGTATCGCATGATTAGCAGCAGTAAGAGCACCGATAAAAAGACGATTAATGGAGCCGCCACACTGCCCGCCAGCATACCGTCTGAAACAACTGAGCAATTAGAGAGAATAATCCATAATACCAGCATTTTTAATTGTTTAAAAACTCACCAAATCTACTGGTATTCGACAGCAACAACCGACAATTCTTTAGCGGCATCGTGATCTTCTGCTTCGCCTCCAGATAGTATATCGGAATATCGCTCCTCGCGCGATTGTGTGGGGCCCATTGCCCAAGAATGAAAATGGAATGGATCTTGGTACCGATTGGGATCTAAAGGGTGTTTTAGTACGTCGCTATTACCAAACCTCAAACGAATCCGGCAATATCACACTGCATTTAGGGCAATCCTCGCAGGCAAAAATGATGGATACCTCACCGAGTGCTAGCTAAACTTTTGGTGAATCTATTTGTATAATTATAAAAACCCGTTTCAGTTTTGGCTTTCTGGGTGGGTCCATGCAAAGGGGATCCGAGGACACGAGTGTCCAATTGACGAGTACGGGTGATGCGGCAAGGAATGGTAGGGAATGGAGAGAGGGTGGATGGGGTGTTATTGTCACCTTGGTTGTAAATGTGGAACATTCAAGTACGGTCTGGAAAAAGCGTGTTAGAATTGTTAGTTTCTACAGCTTATAAATTATATTGACCTACCGATAACGTCCTCTGCACAAACAGTAATGAAAGGATGGGCGAGTAATTCATATTAGCACTACTGAATGTTCTCTGAAAGACGCGGAACGTAAGAATGGCCGATTGAGAGGGAGATTTCCCCTACGCAGCGGTCCGCCGGCTAATAAGGCGAGAGCCGCGTCGAAATCGGACCCATCCTCACTCTCACCCGGCATGTCCCGTGCTTCATCCGCCCCGTCCGTCGCTCCCGAAAATCACTCCTGGTGTTGCCGAAGGATCCCTTTTCCGCCAATTCGCCTCGCTTCCCCTTTTTTACGATGGGCCAGCCTGGGACTGACTCATTTAGATGGCCAACTAGCAAGGGTGAAGTGTTTTTAACAAACCTGCGGGGTATTTTGTTTCTAATCCTACTACATAAAAAAAATAATTTGTGCGATAGTGAGAATTTCGTATGTTCAGGCGGGTTCAGGCATTTTCAGGCGTATGTTGCCAAGAATATCGCTTCAAGGAGTGGACTTTGGGTACGGAAAAACTTCCTGAAGTGTCAAAAGGCTTCGGGATGACTGGCGACAACTCGCGTTTTGTCAAAATGTCATTTTCTTTAAGAAAATTGTTCATTTATTATAAAACGGGTTCCTTCGATCATAAAGTGAAAGAATTAGCATAGCGAGTGCGCTTCAATAAAGGGCTGTTTCCTAGAAAACTCGAAAGAGCTATGCTGAGTTTTTACGCAATGCAAATTCACGAAGTGATAAAATGGGAGGCTAGGAAGGACCCCAGCAAAGAGTCACTACCAGCTCTCCAACACTATTATGCTCCTAATGCGCACAAAACGACAAAGTTAAATCAATAATTTATTCACCCCCGCTAACCGCGGGTTACCATTCGCACCGTGGTGCACCAAAGAACACACGCACACTATGTACAGCCATATAAATTAAGAGGGAAATTCAACCGATCTCATGGACTGGGAGCAAGCAACCGGTATTTGACTAGAACAGATTCTGCAATGAGAACAAATGTTGATGGAGAATCTTTTTTTAGAGGACGGTCGGCACGGCGTCTTCCGTCTGGGGCAAGAGATAGCGGGCTGGGTCTTCCGCGGCAGCCGGGGCATCAGCTTGGGGAGCTGGAAATCAAGTACATATTAGGTTATACAGGTTTTTCTCACCAATATCAATGAAGTACAGCTCCTGATCAAGCTCCGGGACTTGTTCTGGGGCGTCAGACATCATCAGCTCCTCGTGGAATTTGGTGGAGGTCAGCTTCACACATTTTCCTTGCTTGTCCGCCATGTCCAATTCGAAGCCGGGCTTGCACGTGCAAGTGACAGTTTTCTCCGAGCAGTAGGCGTTCTTTACCAAGCATCTAATACATCGTGTGTCACTATTTCGTCAGAAGATACCGTACCTCTTCTCCTCAACCAATGTATCCATACAATATCCACCAATCGTTCCATTGGCACGCTCATCAACAGAATCCATGAAGATCACGGTAGTTGGGTCGTAGCAACTACATCATGATTATAGATATTAAAAATTTTAATTACCGTCCAGCGATATTGCTGAATCCTTCCGGACAGGTGCCGACGCATTTTGATTCGTGGACCAAAGGCTTCGCAGCCGGGCAGATACAGTAGCCAGAATCGCATGTAGCATTTGGTTCCTTTGATCCGCACTGGTCATCCGAGATACATCCCTTTTGGCCGACATACAGGACTATATTAATATTGTTAAAGAAATCACTAGAGAGCCTTACCCTTCAAGCATTTTCCGTCAATGTTGTAGAAACCGAGAGGGCATTCAGTTGAAAGAACTGGAGGCATTGTGGTGGTGTTTGAGGCACCCTTCAGGGATGACTGCTTGATGGCTGTCTTCGTCTCGGTTCCGTTGGCCTCTGGCGGGGGAGTCGGAAGTGTTGTCGGGGCAGACGTAGAGCAACATTGCCAGCGGTTGACCTGAAGTCCTAGTTTTTAAAACCCTGGTATGTTTAAACCTCATCGGCGAACAAGCAGGCAAACCCGGATGGGCAGGGGGTCTCTCCACAAGTCACGACAGTTCGATCAGTTCCCACAAGAGCTCGAGAACCAGCAGGACATCCGCTGTTTCCGCTTAGCGAATTCAAACGAAGCTGACGACCGATCTGAACCCAATTTTTTGTAAATATTGTCTCCATTAACCTTTTCTCCAAGTTGAAGGGCCTTTTCGTACTCCTCTTCCGGTGTAACACCCATCACTTCCCATCCATTCGGACCGTTGGTGCTCGTGCTCACGGTGGCGTTAACCCTCTTTTGCAAAAGCTGTTGCTGTTGGATCTTTTGTTGCATGATGAGGCGGGCTACTTGTTGTCCTTTCTCGAGCTCCTAAAAACCCGGCACTTATGTTTTTTGTGGTTTTGCAAACCTTGCGTTCCAGATCGGCAATGCCGTAATTAGGAACTGCGGGACCGGCTGGCTGATTGATAAAGCGGTTGTTGCCCTGTCCTTGGAAGCCATTCTGGTTTCCGAAATTGTTGTTGTTGAAGCCGTCCTTGTTGAAGTTGTTCAGTCCACTAGACGGAGCAGCTAAATAGAGTCAAATTGTATGGCTGACGTCTCTAATACTTACGCAATTTGTTGAACTGCATGCCAGGCTGGGCGATGGCCGGGTGGTACTGACGAGCTGTCGAATCAAGTGGAGCACAGCAGAAGGAGTCTTGCTTTTCAGCCGAATATATGCAGACGTATGGAGCATTGTTTGGACAGGGCTTCAGGCTCATATGGCAAGGAGATGGCTGGCCATACCAGTCGACATGCGGGATCTGACCGCGTGGGCAATACCCTAGAACGACACAAATGGATACAAAATGACGAACGCACCTTGGAACTTCTCGCCGAGGTCACCCTGGGTGCAGCAGATGAATTGACCAGGCATCGTACTCTCCAGACAGTGGAAGCCAGTTGGGCAAGAGTCACGAAGAGGAGAACAGAATTGCTTTTCCTTGGTCACTAAAAATAACTAATTTTGGGATGCGCTTTAGAACATACTTGGGCTAGTGTAGGCAACTCCAGCAGCGCATGTTGGGGTCCTTGGGCCTCCATCCGAGCAGCACAGATGGTGGAGCGGATTTTCGGAGGGAACGCAAGTGTAGCCGTTGGGGCATTTCGTCGATCCAGGGGGACAGGCGAGAGGTCGACCTCCAACCTCATAAGGGGTAGAAGGAGCCGGGCAGCGAATCGACTGAAGATCAGCACAGCAAACAGCCAATCCAGCGTTTGAAAACTCGCACTTGAAACCTTGAGGGCATGGACCCTCGGCAGCGTTCATAGCATTGCACTGGAGTACCATTCCCATTTCATCTCTATAAAGCGGTGTCATCAAATCTTGATACTAGCGACAAACCTGTATGGACGGTCACCATTTCTGCAACGTCCGGCGTTGGCTTCATGGATAGATTGAGCGCCAACAATTCCGAATTGGTTTGATGAGCCAGGCTGTGGAGTCGGAGCACGAGGATGGGCCGGGACCTTCTTCCCGGACCTGTTGCGTCCTTCGTATTTCTCGCAGCACATTGTCACGTCGGGTTGGTTTGTATTCTGGCACTCCGCATCAGAAGGGCAACGGAACTCTTCTTGATCACAGATTTGAACCTAAAAAATTTGAATGAGCCAGATTGGGGATCAATACCTGCTTGCTTGTCAAGAGCACCGGGAGGTAGCCGTGTTTGCCACATTTGGGCATCGCCAGTTTGCAGCAGGTTCCGCGTTCTTGACCCTCCTAAAACAAGAGGTACCAAAAAAAATTGATTATGGCAAACCTGTCGAAGGCAGAGATGACCCGACGGACATCCTCCAATGACGTTGATCGTACAGGCTTGACCATTTCCGGTGGTACCAGTAGGGCAGGTTGGCTCCTTCAAGATCGAAGCCAAAGAGCCGGAGCCTCTAACAGGGACTTGAGGACGAGGTTGGCGGTTATTCTTGACTTGTCCCTTCCCAGGCCGCTGTTGCATGGTGATCGTGTTCGAGGATCCAACAGTACAGCAGAGATGGAATCCAGCAATGGTGCTGCTCTCCATGCATGCATTACCGCGAGGGCAGGTATCACTTTCAGCATTACAGGCAACAACGGAGTTAGAACCAGGGATATTGTATGGTTGGCGACCACCAGGGCAAGAGTGCACTGTTTGGCAGCATATCGGGACGTTGGAGGTGGAACGGACGCATGAGGTGCCATCCGGGCAAGTGCCGCGTACATTCAAAGTGCAAGACTTCGGAGAGATATCACCGGTTTCGACGAAGGCCGTCATTCCCCGGGGACACTGACCGACAGTGGAGGCTTGGAGACAAGTGGAAGAGCAAATGGCTTGAGAGGTGAAGCGGTTGGAAGAGCCACCACATCCTAAATGCAAATAAGCTTATATAAGGCTCAAAACAAACCGTTGTACAGGAACTGTCGGCATTTTTGTTGCGCGGTATCGTAGTACCACATTGTGCGCTGCGCAGTTCCGGCGCAAACATTTCCACGGGACATTGGTGCAGCACAGGAAGTACCTGAGAGAATTGCCTGTGTTGATTTTGATTTGACTTACGAGTCTCAGGGCAGCAATATCCTTCCGGATTGCAGTTGTAGCCATCAGGACATCCAACAGCGCGGTCGCACTTCTGGGCTCGGTTGTTCGGGTCGACAAGTGGAGCAACTCCGCCACAAGCTGTGATTAGGCTCATAGCTGTTGTGAGCACACGGACTTACCGGTATCAATGGCGTTCAGACAGAAATCAGCACACTGATCCATGGAGTTGAAGTTATTACCGTTGCCGTTACAACCATAATATTGGAAGGGCTGGCATTTACGGGTGGATGGGTTGAAGTAGAAACTAAAGAAAAGTTTAATTTGGTCGTGAATGTTGAAATTACCGTTGGATCGTCATCTGCTTTCCGAAGCATGGGGTTCCAGCGGAGACGACTTCATTGCAAGTCAGTTCTTGGATTGGGCAGCAAATTGGAGATGGTCCAAATGAGGGGGTGGTGCAGACGTGTTGACGAGGGCAGGTGTTCAGCGACGACATTGAGCAAGCGGCGTTGACGGCTCCGACGCGGTAAGGCTGGAAGTATTTAAAGCGTTATGATTTTGTGGCGCGTTTTACCTGTCCATTCTCGCACTGTGTGTCGACGCAATAACCTTCGCACTCCTCCAACGAGTTGAAGTTGTTCGAGTTTCCGCCGCATTGGGAGAATTGGAACGACCGGCAAGATCCGGTGCTCTGGTCAAAGTAATAGCGGGTAACCGCCGGCCGCGAGTTGGCGCAAGGATTTCCGGAATGGCGTGGCTCGGTGCAAACTTTTTCTAAAATTTTGTTTAATCACTTTAAAGGGCTGCCGACGGCATGTGTCGATCCCCCCCATCAACAAATTGGCAAGTAGCCAACAGGGGAGAGAGCGCGCACAGGGGAGAGGCGCAGAGACATTTTCTTTTCCGCGCGTAACCGATTGTCTATGCCGTCGGCATCCCTTTAATCGGACGTAATACATACCTTTCATGGGACAGCAATAATTGGCTCCTCCAGTCGTCACGCACTCATACCCATCTTGGCACGGTAAATTCTCATTGCATACCGTAACTCCTCCACCAAGTGGAAGTCCTGCCGGACAGACACCTGAACCTTAAAAATCCACTAAAGCTCAGGAAATCTGACCAAAAGCGGGGCAACATTTCTCGTCACTGCACACATATCCGGCAGGGCAGGGAGCGTTAGCCGAACATCTGGATGGGTTTGCTAGTGGGAAATCTCCGTTGGGACATTGGGCTAAAGGGTTACGTGTAGTTGAGGTGTACTTAGGGTTGACTCACTGCTCCTAACATCTCCATCAGCCTCGGAGCAGCAGATGTACTTGTTGAACTTGGAGGACCGGGCGCATTGGAAGCCGTTTTGGCAGGAGCTGGGATTTTGTTAAAGTTAGCTTGATGTCGTGGATGGGCTTACTTGGGACTCTTAGGATTGCACTCGACGATCCCTCCAGTTGATGGGTGGATAAAGCCAGCGGCATTAAAAGGGCATCCAAAATCTTTTCCGCAGCATCGAGTTGTCGTACCACCGACCAGGTTGCATCCAAAGCCAATCGGGCAAGTATCCGAATCTCCAAGCACACAGCTCCTCGGCCTACCGCTGGATGGCTGAAATTAAAAAAATATCTTATGTTTCCAATTAGAGCGTTCCCCCATTCTGCCCCTTCTCTAATTCAGGTTTCAGGTTCGCCGTCCGGCGCCCACCGCGGATTTCCTTTTCATCTCCGAATCGGGCGGGCCGGCGAAAAACGCCAGTTCTTATAGACCGATCTTCTTTCACGGGAGGAGAAAATCTGTTTACCCGGTGGCCCGCGGCGGATCCGCCCTGGCGCCCGGGCGGGAAACATGATCAAGGCGCGGAAAGGGGGGTGGAGGCGGACGCGGAGGGACTATGTCAAAATAAGACGGGGTTAGAGAAATTTGGAGGTGGGGAATGGTGAGGACCCAGAAGCGACGCCGGTGGCCCACTTGAACGACTCTGTAAACATCACTTCCGTATTTGTACGCTGCCGTTGGCTAGAAACCTTGGTGGGATCTTTTCGTTCGTTGGGTGCCGTTCTAGGCATAATGGGAATATTGCTGTACTTACTAATTTCGATCATAAATTAACGCGCTTTGGAAGGCTACGTAGGCAGTCATCAGGATTTTCAATGTGTTGTATTCCCACCATACCTCAATGTAAGTCACTTGATCGCTGCTGCACGAAGCCTGGTCTTCAATTGTCGGCGACGGATTCTGGCAGCAATAAGAAGTGCCGGTTCTCTCGTACATACGGCAGACGTAGCCTAAAAATTATTATAATCAACAAAATATAATATGCCTACCATCAGGACAGCTTGAAATCGATGGGTTGCAAACGACCGGTGCGGAAAGGATCGTCAACGGAATACCAGTTCCGCAAAGATCATCTTAAACCACCAATAGACTTATCTGATATTTTATATTTACCGGGTGCCTGGAAGAATGGCTGTGACAAAATATCGTCCGGCGAGTCGTTCATCATAATCGACTCGCACTGACCGCTCTTGGCGTTGAAGAGCTTCCCGGAGAGGCATTTTCGCTTTGAAAAGGTCCTAGAAGAAATCGATTATACCGTACCTTCCCCCTAAATACCCACCCCTCCAGGTTACAGTACAAATAGCTCTCGGGGTTCTCGGGGTCGGGCTTCTTCGTGTCGCTCGACGGGTCGCAATCGAGTTTGGCGTTTACTAAGCATAATGTGAGTTCTAGTAGAAGCAGAAGTCGCAGCACGCTCCTCCACGATTGGGAGTGCCGCATTTTGTGTGGGGTTTTGTCACTGGAAAATGGATTTCTTCGGGTGGCAAAGCTGGAAGTCGGAGCTTCATAAAGAGAAATTTTTGTAGTGATGTAGATTGTAGATTATCGATATTTTGATCGTGGAAAAACGAAAATTGTATCATGCAGAGGAAAATAAATCGAGAGACGAAATCGAAAGCTGAATTCGAAAGCTAAACAATATAAGAGATTCTACAGCAACTTTAGAATATTTTAAATAAAACGTCTACAGTGCATTTGATGCCAACGATAGCGCTGCCGACGGTCTAATGTCCGTCGGGCAGTGTGTGGGCCCAATTTACGTGTGGCGGGGGGAAAGTCCTGATCCGTATAAGGGGCCCGCGGTGGGCGGTCCGCTTGCGCATCCGCCCCCTTCTCTCGTGTCTTTTAGCCGTCTCTCTCTCCCCCTCTTCCGCTCGCTAGGTCCGGAACAAGACGCCTCAAGGAGCATCGAGAAGGTGTGAACCCGGTGCCCGGTAGCCTGGAGAGGTTTGCCGCCGTGCGCATTAGCGGTTGGGAGAGAAGCGGAAAAACGGGTGGTGGAAAGCGGGTGGAAGTCCCCGGGGCGGATCATGACTTCCGCCTGTTTGAGAAGTCCCGCGTTGGTGTCTGTGGTTGACGATGCGGTAGGTTTAGATGGATGGATGACTCAGAAAAATAGCATAGGATGTCTATTAGGAATGTACCGTACAGATTCGACACCTTGTAGAGTTCAAGCTTTCGTGCGGCTCGGCACTTGAGCAAATTTTAAGCACCAAGAGGGCTTCATATCTGCTACGAGCTGATTTATTAATTTTAACTCTGAAATAACTTATTAATACGGTATAAGGCATTTATCATTAACTATATGCGGCTTGTGATTTCATAAATAAGTTTATGTGGCTTCCAGGAGCTCTATATAACCCTCTGACTAAAATACTACTTTACGAAATACGAACTACGAACCACGAACTTTATCATCTTGCCCAAACGGCCGAACCATAGCAGCTGTCAACGTAATCGATAATTATATTCTGTAATCATACAGGTTAGCACAAGCTTTTAAAATCCACGCCTGATTGCGAGGCGATAGTTTGTTTCAGTTTAGGGAAGCTAGCAGTTCGCATTGTATTCTATGGTTTTTTTTAAACTCTAAACATTTACCGGAAGGGCTACCTTTAAGTATCGCCCGTATCGAAATTTAGGTGCCACGACATTTGCAATACATACATTAAAAATTACCCCGACCCCCAGCTCCTAAAACAAGGCAAGACTAACAATATCGTCTGTATTTTCACCCGTCAACTCGCACGTCCACACACCATGGTCTATTTTCGAATCCCAATGTTCTTTCCCCGCGGGCCGGCCGGCGTACCTCCGATCCAACCTTACACAATTTGACGTCGACCGCCTCGGGCGGGCTTTGGGGGGAGGTGTGCGCGCCGAGTGATTCTTGTCCTGTTCATCCGCACCCTGTTTGCCCATTGATGGCCAGTCAGTAGAGAGGGGGCCCCCCGGGGGCGCGTAAGCGCAAGAGGAAGATGCCCGGCGGCGTGTCCGTGGCGTGGGGGTCCCGTGTTTTTTCTCAGCGAACTTGAACAAATCAGCCCTTCCGGATGACAAGCCCGCAAAAGAGAGGGCCTGCGGGGGGGAAGAGGCCGCATTCCAGCACATCCACGTCGAATGGGTGCATCTATGAGGGGTGGATGTTGGTTGCAGGCCAATAGCAGCATGGCGATCGAAGATTAGATTCTAGGCAATTTATTTATCTTGATCATTTTTTGATTAATTTAATGCTTTTCATCTCTATAATCCCATCCCAATTTTCTCGAAATCATCATTCGGTGCTCGCAAGCTTACTAAAAATCAAGTAGGCAACATAAAGAATGTGTTTTTAACGATTTTCGGTTCCTTTTAAAATTTTATGGCCAAAAACCTAACAGTTTCGAACATTTTCAGGCCATCTTCGGATGCTGATCCACAAGTTATGAAATAGAAAACAATTTAAACATGTCCAAACGGTGCTCTTCAAGTATAATTAGTAGTTCTAGATCTTTCAAGCCCCATCACGTCACTCGCCCCTAAACTTTACCCTCATCAAATCCTTCACTCGAGACAAGCTCCCATCTCAAACGCGGTGTGACTCACACGCTGGTGTATTTGAGAGGAAATGAGCGGCATAATCTTGCACCACGGGCCTAACGGAAAATGCTTCTGGTGGCCCGGGGTAGACTGTTGACTCTGACTCAGCCACCACCACTAACGCACACACATAGGCACCTCAACCGGATGCTACCCCCCAGCCGGATTCGTGCCATTCACTTCGTTGGCCACCATCCCGGGCACTCCGAATACATCATCGTCGTTCTGTTGGACAGTGGCGCCAAAGTTTTCCTTTTAGGAATGAGCCTAGCAGGTGCAATTCGAGGTCTGTATCCTGCTTCTTCAATTTTTTTATTTTTCTCGTAGGCTCAAGTGATGTAGAAGGCGATACCGTGACAAAACGGAAAATTTTGCACTCGGAAGACATTTTTGGCATAGGCGATGGGGGGTATTGGCACCAAGCAAAAGAATTGAGCTAGTACTGGCAATTGTCATTGAGAGAAGTCCGGGAAAGCACCAATCCAATAGCTTAAGTTGAAAATATGAGAAGGGAGGATCGGAAGGCATCATAATTGTCAAGGTAACGGGGAAAGTGAATGGTAGACTTGGCAAAGTAATCACAGAATAGTGTTAATCCAAAAACCGTCAACTAAATATCTAAAAACTTGTAAATATTTGTCACGTGGAAGCTTGGATATGTACAGTCTAGAAAGACTAACGACAAATGTAAAGAAAAAGCAGGCAGTTTGTTATCGCTTCAAGTTTCCGGCGAATTCTCGAAGTTTGTCTTTCAAGTTTCCAGCACGGGCGACAATATTCTAAAAAGGATTCTGCAGACGTTTGTAAAGAAAGGGTACCTTTTTCTCCTCAGGAGGCTTGATGCTTGCAACGCGTCCTTCTCGAATATCGTGAGCAAGGCATACCAATGTACCGACGTCAATTCCCTCGGGAAAATTCTAGAAAAAGGTAACAAAAAGAAAAGACTAAATAAACCTGTAGTAACCGTAGAGCATCCGCAAAGGTAGCATTTATCAAGAAATCGCGCTGTGATTCTATCATTGCCAGCCCGACATAGGAGAGCAGCGAGAACCTAAAAAGACGTGATTTCCATTACAACACGATATTTTACCGGCATGGGTCAGCAAATAAAGAATCCCAAAGAGTGATGACGTCGGGAAGAGCAAATTCTTGGCTGAGCATCAGTGAAAGCCAACGAAATGCGTAGAATTGAGGCTGAATCTGCAGCTTGACGACCAGGTGATTGTGCAGGAGTGGGTCGAACGATTTCAACAAATCGTGAAAGTTGCGCATAGTCGACTCTGAAATGTAATTGTAATCCCGAGGAGCCCGTTCTAGATTCAAATTTATCCTCAGCCCCTTTCTTCAGGCAAAACTTCGTACGCTTCTTAGTTCTTTGCTGATAAGCAGGAGAGTTCCAAATTCGTTCAGGGGCTTGCCCCTTTTCAGCAAACAACGTTCCAAAGATAAGACGAACCGATTCCACATTGCGAGTCGTCCAGCGTCTTGATGAAATTGTCCTTGATTTCGGCCATCATCTGCTGGAAACAGTAGAAGGTGTCAGCCTCCGCAAACTCGGCCCATTCCACATCCGGATCAGAGGCAAACACGAAGTACAAAGGGCCGATGAGCTCATTCATGCCCTACGCAAAAATAAAAATCATATAGCCACTAATACCTGTACGTATTTTACGCCGGGGTTCAATTTGCTGTAGATGAAGAGGATTCGTTCGAGGACCTAAAGGAAATGAAGTACAGCTAAGTAAAAAAAAATGCATACCTGCCACTGTCTTTCCCCCTCCACCACCTCGGCAGCTGCGCAAACATCATTCGGAGATTTGCACCGCACATTGTTTTTCAACTAAAAGAAAATAGCAATCTGTACGAAAATTGTTACGTTCACAACGCCGAGACGATCGGTTAGAACTTGAGCTTCTAATTCGGCCCGTGTCACCCGAGCCGATAAGTTTATCCTGCTTCCAATCTAAAAACGTTGATCAAAGATAACTTTATTACCTTGTGCGGAAAAGCGGTAATTTGTTGAAAGAACTGTATCTCCGGGCATAATCGGCGGACGTCTTTGTCAATTTGCGCCAGCGTCACGTTGTCATCGAAGAAACCCTTCCACTCGGACGAATTCGATTCATTCAATGGCTAAAAACTCCATTTCCTACAAGAAAAAAACAAGCTCTTACATGATCACCTTCATTTTCTCCATCATTCCCTTCAATAAATTGGCTGACGAGCGCATCGTAGTTCTCTCGTTGAGTTTCCAAAAATCGCTTCCAAACAGCTCGTTCTGTTGGCAGGTAGTTTAACAAGAGCCGCCAGCCGAGTGGTCGCAATTGGTCGGGGATACCTAAACGAAACTGAAGAGCTTCCAAAAAAGAAAACTAAACGTTTATAAGCAAAAACAAACCATAACTACACGCGTGCTTCAGCTCCTTCATGTCAATCTTCAATTTCTTCAGTAGAAGCACCTCTTCCACACGGGTTAGTCTAAAAGATCGGATACAAAAAAGCTGAGGATTCAACCTTTCCACATATCGGCTGCTCATTTCATCTGCCGCAGCCCTTTCCTTTCCTGAAAAGAGGTTTTTAAAACCGAAAACATTATGTAGCGAGAACATAAATAGCAGAGAACGGCAGAGGGAAAAGAGCGGCAAAATGTGGGTGAGGGCCAGAAAACCAAAGAGACTCGCGGGCGACGGGAGCATCTCATTGCTATTAGTGCACAAATTAGACGCTTCTAAAGGTTCACTGGATCAAATTTGTCACGTTGTATAATCATCACCAAATTTTTTCAAACTAAAGAATCACTTTTGATAAGAAATCTGTCTCTGAAATTTATTGAAAATCTATTTGTGAAAACAGCAAAAGCCAATACTAATGGGAATTTCCCATGTAATAACCTGCAATTGACGGCTCCCATAAAAACCTTTACTGAAAAAGAATGGTAAATAAAAGGCGAGACATTCCAAATGGCGAGAGATTGAAAATGCATTGAATACGTCAGGGGGCGGAGGGCAATTTTTAGATTTCAACCCATGGCTTGGCGGAAAATAAGGGACGGAGAACATAAAATGAAAGAATCGGGGGCAGAGATAATTACGTAATTTGTTTTTGTAGCATTGCATTGAATTGCATTGGTTATCACAGCAAATAAATAACACAAACAAATGGCTGGGAGTGAGTGAGTGAACGGGCTGCCCAGAATAAAAGCAAAAAAAACGATCCCGGGATAATAAAGCCAAAGCGAAACCCCAAAAAAGGAGGCAACTGACAAGATGAACAACCTGCGCATTAATAAGCTGAATTCTTCGGTGAATTGGGGGGAAATAAGCTGGGCATTTGATTGAATTTTTGAGTGACTAGAAGGGGATATAAGTTAGGGTGCTCAACGATAAGTAAACGAGGGTCGATTGGTAGAGATCAAACAAAACAAGAACAATATTTTTCTCATAAATATAAGGCAAGGGGAGGCGCTCTAAAACAATAAATATTCTTTGGGGATGTTGAAGAGGCTGGTGGCGATCACGTTACAATCGATTCGCAGCATCGAGACCTGGAAGGGTGAATTATTATTCATATAAACTGTGGGAAAGGACGTGGATGGGGGGTGTGAAAACTAACAATTGGGTCGGCATCTGTAGCATTTGGAGCGAGTGCCGGGACGATTAACGAGAATTTCGGTTGAATAGCCGGATCTCGCGTTTCGGATGGCATGAGGAGGTACTGTAATGGGAGGTGGTTGAGAAATGAATAACATGCTGCTTGGATCGATTCTGTTGTTGTGGGGGGTTTTTTGTTTTCAGCGAAATGACGCACTAAATGCTGCCCTTTAGCTGGGAGCGTTGTTTATGGGAGGGTCGGTGAATCATATGTCAAGAAAATTGCGCGACTCTTAGGTGGCAATAACATACCTGGCCGCCAAATAGATAGAGCGTATCCTTGCGCCGCTGCACCGCTCTAGCCAAATCGGTGTACAATTGTTCATCGATAGTGGGGGAGAAGGGGCGATCCATAATACGGCCCTCACGGCTCAAATTAGCAATGCCACCGGCGACTTGGCTCTTGATTAGGGAAGAGCTGAAAGGAAATATTTTGTTGTGAGGTACAAAAATTTACCGAGTAGAGTTGGTGTTTAGAAGGTCGAGATGTTTCCATGCTCGATCACGTATCGCCTTTTGCTTGGCCTGATCGCGTTTCCGCTCACCAGAGCTGAAAATTACTCATGAATCAAAGAATTCAAAGTCTTTGTTATTCCCAGAATTAGCTGATGCCCCTCACCTAGTCCTAGGCATTACTCCAGTCTCATTCACGAGCAGTCGCTGCATACTACCGAATCGTACAGCTCCTCCGCTAGCTGCGGAATGACGCGAGACCCACGAGTCGAGCATATTTCCCAACCTAAAGATTTTATTCTAGTATAATTGGTTTGTACCTACACTTGGAAATCGGTCGAGTTGGCTGTAGCGTTGTATTCAGCAGGCAGGGCTTCGATGAGCTTTGGATCCACCTTTAGTACGCGCGATGGAACGTCCACAGTGAACTCGGTGTCATTGCTTAAAAACGTATGATTAAGTTTTAACAATTGGTTTTTTTCTCTTATTGATTCGATGTAGAGTGCCGAGATATGCTTATACTGACCTTGGTCCGGACGTGAAGATTCCAGCGACAAAGACGAGAGCAAAAACGAAAAACGTTCCTCCCGCCACGGCTTTCACCGTGCGTCCATTCGGTTTCATCCTGGGAACTTCTATATGAGCCAAACCACACCTTGCTCGCAATTCCGAGTTTTCCGTCCTCAGGCGATGATTTTCCTTTCTAAAAAGCATTTGCAGGGATTGTAGGGTTTACCTGAGCTGATCATTTTCTAGGCTGACCCGTTGTAGTTCCGATTCCATAGCTTGTGCTGCCTTTTTCTTTTTCTCACGGGACTGCTGAGCAAAATGGCGATTTCGGATCTTCTTCTGCTCTTCTGCCGACAGGGTACGGCCAACCGGTATTAGATTCAAGGGCTGTGGAGTGATGTGAGTCGTGGCGGGACGTTGTTGGAGCTAAAAATTTCAAATTGTTTAAAATACTATCTCAAAATTAATCCGTTTCCGGCAGCTTCTTTTTGTGAGGAAGGAGTCATAATAACTTGGAGACGAACCGGCTTTGCAATCAGCATTTTCACGGGCTCGACACTCTTTTGAGGGGCTAGGATCAGCTTTTGGTTTGGCTTCAAGGGAGGATGGATTTGTACCTGAAAATAGTGTAATAATTTTTGACTAGATTTTAATTTTGCACGAATGGTTGCTGGAACTCACCAATTGAGTCGGAGGGGATGAAATTCGGGTTGGCGAGATGCTCGGGCACGAATCGGTGGGGGAGGGGAAAGGAATGGATGACTGAACTTCACATTTTAGTATCATGGGATTTCTTTACCTCATCCTTATAATCAAAATATCGATAACTCGGGTCAGGCATCACCGGATCGGCCAAAAACAATTGGGGAGCTTGATTTTCGAGGTATTGAGGCTGCTGATGGTACGTTACATTCCGTGCATCCTCGTGGGACCATTCACTAAAGATTAGTTAATGTTAATTTTAATGCCATTTTTTTTTGTCTTATTAAACGTACGAGCTGGACGCGCTAGAGCCTCGACGACCGTTGATTGACCCATCGGAATCCTAAACAACAATCTAGACTTAAGTTTTGTATGTACCGTATTTGAAGGGGTTGGGAAATAGCTATCCAAATTATCGGTTCCAATGTCGTCGAGGAAGGTGGGATCGAAGCCATCCATTAACGCTCGCTATAATCGAATTAACAGGTATATTTATTACTACTTACCATATCATCGGGGATCAAATCGATCCCTCCCTCTACATCATCCATCTTCTGTAAACGTTATGTATTGAGGCAAAGTTTCAAGGTAATCCAAATGAAAGTAAGGTAAGTTAAAGTAAAGGAAGCCAAATTCAAGCTGGTCGAGCCAGGAAAATAGGGTATTTTCCGGTTTATATATTTCAGCGAATTAGCGAAGTTCGATTTGATTGTTCTTGACAATGGAGCTGCAACGTAGCGAGCCTGAGCATAGATAATTCTAGAAGGCCACAATTGATCGGCGGGTATTGGAGTGTCGTGTAGCCGTTGGGGATGAGGGTCAGTGGGGTCGAAACGAGGCAGCCGCAGGGCGGAACACAAACAAACCACGGTCAGTGTGATGGATAATCAAACATACGTGGAACGTGAGATATGGTCTATGGGGGGAATGGCTAAACGGATATTATTGGGTAAATACGATCAAAATGCGATAAAAATGGGTTTTCCTGTATTGGGATTACGGTAGCATACAGTATTTTTATCAAATTTTTTGCTTTAAGGTATTATAAATTGAGCATTTTTCCTTAAAATGGCATGGAATGTTTCATTTTCGGTCAAAGTTATCTTTTGACATGTATCCCAAGTTTGTAATTCAGACGTTGAGACATTAATGGTAAGAGATTCTATGCAAAAACGCCTACCGTACCCCAAAGCGTCTTATTTTTGATAAATTGCTTCCCCCGATATTTCTTGTGTACCACTATCCCACTAGCACGTAGTATCCCGGAACCATTTATATGAAAATAGCCTCTCCCCGTCCATTCTTCATCCCCCTTCATCAATCTACCACATCCGCCTCCCCCCGTAAATGTGCAATACCAAAGGTGTTCTACCTCTCTCTTTCTGTCCCTCAACTTGAATGATCGAGCCACGGAAGCACTTACCCGATGATTGGCCCTTGGGTGGGCGGTGCCCCAGCTAGAGCCCACATCCAGGGCCCGATCTTTGGGCATCTCCAAAAGCTTCTGCCTGGCCTGAAGCTGTCATCTACAGACACCCGTTGCGACGACGTCTACCCTCGGCTCATCCTCCGACACGATGGGTAAGTGTCGCAGTGCTGATTCGTCGCCCACCCAGCCACCACCCGCCAGCGCCAGCACTAGCACCGCCATGAACTATTTCCGCCATATTCCCCTTGCCAATTCCCATCTAGCGGCTGTTAATAATGGTATAGGCGCATTTTGAGGGTTTGAATGCCGCTTGGGAATGGATTGCCTGAAGTAACGCATCGCACGTTCCAGGGAGTAGGTATACACCTATTTACGCATAGAGTAGGGCAAAAGAGAGCGAGAGAGACAGAGAGCGAGAGAGAGATAGGGAAGGAGAGGGAAAGAGATCGAGACAAAGAGTTCATATGTCTATGCATCCAGCCGATTGAGCGTGCGCTGTAATAGGATATGGTATCGAACGCGTTTCGATCGCATGTTTTCGGGATTGGAATGAAAAACCACGGTTTTTGCGAAAACGTTGATATCGAGCGATGATCAATAATTTTCCAAATTAAACCAAATTATTTTTTGAATTTTCAAGAGCTTTCAAATAATCCAAAAATAACCCCAGTCCGAGCTTCCTGGGCGAGCTAAAAGCGTTCTTTTTAGAGCGTAATTTCAAGCCCTCTAGTAATGCATATCCTTCTGAAGCGCTCCCCCTCGAATTTCTACACCGAAAACTACCGTACCCATTCCGTCCGATATCTCTTACTTCAACTTTTTCTTCTCAAGTCCCCCGATAACTTCTCAACCCCCAGACGTACGGCATTGATTGTTTGTATGCAAAAACCGGTAAAGAAAGCTCTTTCACTTGGCTTCCTGGCTTTTCGACTTTTGGGTGCTGAAGTTGTTGGGGGGCTTCAAGGGGGTGCCTCCCTTCGCACTCGTGTCATGATAGACGCCCACTTGGCCCAGTTTAGCTGCATGAGGAGCATGAAATAGCTTTTTCTCTCGTACAACTCATGATGACGAATGTTGGGCGGCTAGTAAGGGGGTTGAGCAATGCACAAAGATCGAGTGAAATTGTCGCAAAAGATTTGAAAATTTTTGGAAAGCCATTTTATCATTTTATCGTCCGGCGCACCAAAATCGTATTTGTGTGTGCAGTGTGGATTTGCATACACACTTAGTTGGCGTATTCCCGTCATATCTGAATAGAAAGATGATTTTAGGGATGTGTATTTTTGCAGTCATTAGGTGCCTAATACACTCGATATAACTGCCGACCTCATAGATCCTTAAAACAGAGAAGACTGGTTTCCAAATTCAAAACAAACCTTTAAATTTTGCTTGGAAATCCTTTTAGGCATGAATTTGTCAACCATCAATTAGCATACACCGGAACTAGACATAACTTAAGCAAGAGGCTAGAAACTATGGGTTTTCGACCCTGGGTTTTACTAATATAGCTAATCTTCTCAAAACCTAGCCGCCCACATTCGTCTACCTTTTTTCACTAGCAAAAGTATCAATTCCAGCCCTTTTCCAAGAAATCCAAGCCCGTCAGAAAGAATTCATGAAGATGTTCAACTCGGGCGACGCAAAGGTATCCATTTCCGAGCACCCAATTATTTTGTTTGAAGGGCGCGGCCCTCGTCTACGATCCCGATGGTTATTTCATGCCGAACGGCCATAACCCGGTGAAGGGACGCGATGGTTCGGATTGCAATTTGAGCCTGATCCAAGCTTTAGGGATTGAGAGCTATTTCAAGCAGGATATGTCGGAGGGTGTGCAGACCGCACAGGTATTAAAGAAAAACTGTTAGTAAGTTTAGAAAATTCTAGATCATCACCGAAGAAGTGAACGGAAGTGGTGACTGGGCTTTTGAAAGGGGCAGTTATCACTTGGATGGGACCAAGGGGAAAGAATGTGGCGCTTATTTACTCGTCTGGAAAAAGGTTTGTAAAGTTTATTCAATAATTTCTATTTCTTTTTTCAGGTTGATGGCGTGTGGCTAATCCACAACGACTGCTTCAACGTCATCAAGCCAGCCCAATAAAAAGGAACTCCTCTCGTGAATTTGGCAGTTCACTTCCCCACCCCCTCTCTATATTCTGCTGCATATGGCAGATTTCTGATTAGCAGTTGCGGAAATGAACTTGACTAGGCTCTTTCTCTGGTATTGACACGATCATCATGCTTCCGGGATATCTTGAAATACAAAAAATAAGACACATTTATTCCGTCCACAATTCGACAATGCGAAAAATGACTGGACGGGTGGACCCGTGGTCGAGACAGCGCTACCAATGACTGATAATAGCCATAAAAATAATACGATAATAGGGGAACGGTAAAGACGGGAACTTTGATGATGAGAATACCAATGTGAGCTATCCATTGAAGACGCAAAAAAAGCACAGAATATCTATTTAAAAAGGCAGTCATATAATAGATTAGAATCGAAGATCAAGTTTGTCTAAAAACACACTTTAAAGCTGTATAAAATTATATAAAGCTGTTCATAAAGAGCGGAGACCAGAAAAAGAAAATTTTCAAATCTAGAAACCGGCCATTGGAAAGTCAAATGTAGAGACCCTACCGAATAAAATCAACGGGTTTATTTAGTGGGCTGGAATGGGCCGCCGTTCTGCTTTATTGGAGGTGTAGAGCTTTGATTTCTAGAATTTATTAGTTTTTATGTGTAGATTGAACACTACTAGCAATTGTTTATTATCCATTCATGACCATTCAACCCGAGCAGAAAATCCTGTATTAGTGACCAGTCGGTACCGAAAAGAAAAATGGGGTAAGCACGCAAAGCCAAAAAGTTATAGGGTAGAAATTCATAGGGTATCTATTGTCGGTTATGTATTTAATAGACAAGAAGTTTACGGCGAAATATTGCACACTAATGAAACAAAGCTGGCTAAAAAAAAACCGAACAATCAGAATTGGCAAAGACGTAGAATCGTTAGAAAAATAACACAAAAATTACAAAAGACAACGCAACGGGGTATAATACGCGTTTTCCTCGAATTAGTTTGAACCTTAGTCTTGATAAAAAAAACCTTTACTATCGATTCAAATTATTTCGCGGAAAACCTCTATCAACAATACGGAATCTGCGGCGCTAGAATCATTATATTAGGGAGTATATTCGACAAATGATCATGATAATACCTGTACAAAATTCCAATCTCTCTACCCTCACAAAACAGCATTGACTTGGCCAAGCAACACATTGACTAAAACCTATTAAAATCATCCCATGCATTATTAAAGCTTCCGGTTATTCACACGGGCGTTTAGTCTCGGCTCAAACAGCAATTCCTCGGTGCGTTTTCTAAGACGGGCAATTAGAGATGGAAAGCAAAAGAAGCGTCTGCAACAGGCTATTTTCAGGGGGCCGATTTTACTCACTTGTGTTCCGGGGGTACTTTCCAGAAAAATTTGTGCTCGAGGGCGGCTTGGAGCTGGATACGTTGTGAGGGTTCGTAGGTGAGCATCATATCGATAAGGTCAAAAAGATCGATATGGTCTTCTTCGTTGCTTTGTTTGTAGCGCTAAACGATAGAGCTCGTTAAAAAATGCAGAAATTTTACATACCAATAACGGTTTGCAGTTTTCTTTTACATAAAGTCCCTCCTGCGATTTCTCACTCCAATCCAACCGTCCGTTGTAGAAGTATTTTGTTCTGAAAGGAATAGTCATTAAATATACTAGTATAATAATTATATACTATGTAACCAGGGTTGAAAAGCCGCTTCGCGACTTTTCAACCCTGGCCCCGTCCAACGCTATGATATCCTTCGCTTTGCATAAACCTTCCGCACTTTTATGTCACAGAAATGAAAAACGCGTCCTCTCCCCGATTATATAGGCTACTCCCACTTCCGGCGTATGCTAATTTTTTCCTAACAAAGAGGTTGTCCGATTTTTAAGGAAAAACTTAATTTTTATGTCGAAAACAATAGATTTTGCAAAATCTGATATGCGTGCAGTCATCTACAGGCCATTACGCATCTAATGACGTATCATACGCCTGCTTCATCCCTTTCCCTCTTGAGATATCCTCCGGACACGCTGACGGAAGTTGCATGCAAAAGTGTCATACACACACACACACACACAGACACTATTTTTTTATATATATAGTAGGATTAAACCCACTTTGATCGCTTGATCATTCGCGCTGGGACACTTCCAAGAATCCGTTCCATCATGGCGAGGTGTTCCCGATTTTCATGGGTTTGGAACAGGGTTACACCGGTATACAGCTCGAAGAGGATGCAGCCAATGGACCAGACATCACAGGGTTGGGACCAGCCCAGTTCTGGAAACGTATTAATTTTTTAATACGGAAATTTTACCTAGGATGACTTCTGGGGCTCGGTAGTGTCGGGTACTAACGATTTGCGAGTGGTGCTCATCATCGAAAGTTGCGGAGCCGAGATCGATCAATCGGACGGTAGCGTCGCGGATGACGTTGATAGGCTATAAAAATTTTTATACAAAATTTTATTTATCGTAAAAATGCAAATAAATCGCTCTGCTGATTCGTTTTTGAATCTCTACGACGTTTTTTGAATGTTACTCCGTACTGATGCGTATAAGAATACGTTTTTAGGGTCCATGAAGTTTGAAAGCGGAACTAAGACTAGCTGCAAAAGAATTTTTGTCGTTTTTGTGTCACAATTTTCTTTACTTTGCCCAGCTGCGAAAGCAAGAAATTAAATTAACTATGAGGGTTTTTAAATCCAAAAAAAGGCCATGAAAACCCATTTTGGATATTTTTTGCACTTTTAAGGTTCATAAGTTCGTAATTATGCTCGTTTTCCAAATCTGGCAACATAATTTTTCGAAAGCGAAAAATTCTGCACAACGCGGGTTTCATTCCGCTACGTAATGCCAAGGAACAAAAAACAACACGCTTCCTTGTTAGCAGCTTACCTTTTTCCGTCTCCCTTGTACAGTGTCGTAGTCGGTGTTGACAAACAACAGATTCTCCGGCTTCAAATCCGTATGCGTCAGCCGGTGCCGGTGCAAAAACAGCACGGCGTGACACAACTGATACCCGATGAAGCGCACCTGCTCGAGGGGATACGGGTGGAAGCTGTTTTGTTTCTAAATCACGTTTTTACAGATTTAAGTGCCAATTCATACCAAGAAATCGAAAACCGACAGCCCCAATAAATCAAACAATACGCAGACGTGGCCGAAGTAGTCGAAATGCTCGATCATTTGGATGATCAGCCTAAAATGATTGTTTGAAAGTTGAAGAAGGGCTCCTACTGTTTTCCTTGGGGATCCCGATGCTTCAGCTCGTTTAGCACTTTCACCTCCAGTTTCGCCGCCTCTCGGTACTTGTTGACGTTCTTGATGATCTTCAGGGCAAAAAATCGGCCTTCAGGGTGGGTAGCATCCTAGAAATCAGAATTATTCATTTAAACACGGTTTTATTTTACCGTTCGCTCTTTGTCGATGACTTTTACGACCTTTCCGAAAGTGCCTTCGCCAAGGGTATCTTGGATCACATCTGAAAAAGGGGTTAAGTGATGAATTTTTGGTAGATATGCTTCAATATTTCGGGCCTTTGTTTGTTATCTTGGTTTCAAGGAAATCCCAATATATTGGCTAGCCAGATTGCTGCTCCATTCAAGCCCTTTCAATCGTATACACACAGACACACGCATTACACTCGAACGCGATGGGTGGCCGTCTGCCACTGGACCCGATATTTTCCACTTTGGGGTTATAAGATACGGAGAGACGGGAAAAGTCAGTTTTAAAATAACAAGTTGTAAAAAATGGCTTAAAAATAGTATTAAGAGTATCGCCAAGGTATCGGGATTGTGGTGCGTCGATAAATGGCTTTTTATATAATTACCTGCCCACGGGCTTCTTTAAAGCGTATGTGAAGCATGAGCCTCGTATCTGACGATTACGCCTTTTTACGCTTGAGTTAAGCCAAAAAGAAGGCGTAAATAGGCGTTTACGTAGCATTATAAGGTCTCAGGTTCTCTCACTGGTCTACGACGATACACAAATGCAAATTTTTCCAAATTTCGTAACAAAAACTACGCTACTGATCAATCCCCTTTAATATCGATCCCCATTTCCGGCGTACATTGGTTCAGTGATTTTCGGGGTCTCAGTGGGATCAGTTGCCGTTTCGTTTCTGAGAACGAAGAGGGCATTTGTCTTGCCCCCCCAAGCTGTTCAACTTTCTTACCACCCCTCCCGATCGATCCATAGCCCCCCGGGGAGGGCCACCTGACTGGCACTTTCCGTTTCGGGATACTTGTGTAAGGTTTACCATGCGCTATCCAGTCAATTGATCCCGCAAAAAGGAATAACACGCGGGGGAGACCCATTGACTCATACAAGTCAACAGGGACAAACGTTTCCGGTTAAAACCCCTAGTTCTAGGAATGGGAAAGCTGAAGAACTCACATCGCTTGCTAATAATATCGCCGGCATTGTAGATGAGGTGCCCCTCTTTGTCGTCAAGGATAGGTTTGTTAGAATCGCGGGAAGATCCACGCTGAAAGACATGATTTAAGCAAAAAAATACAGATTTTCAAGAAAAGAAACTACCCTAAGATCGCTCCCATTTTCAACTTACTCAAAAATCAAAAATACCCTGCTGAATTCAAAAACTTACAGGTGTCGGCGGAACATTTTTTGACCTCCGGAATTTATCAGGTGGAACCGCTTGGCCTTGAATAATCTTGTCAACTTTAGCAGAAACCGAAGCAGGTAGTTGAAGCTGAGCTAATAAAGACGCTGTATTTGGATTGGCAGCTTTCTTGGGAGGCTCCACCGGCGGCACTTCCGGTTGTACAATCGGCTTCTTCTCTTCCCCTGAAAATGCCGCAGCAACAGCATTCAACGTCTTTTTAGCCGTCTGTTCGTCTGCATCCCCTCGATCATTGCTTGAACAGTCTTCGGTTTGCACGACCGGAATGAATTCTTCTTTTCGGGGTTCAGTTTTCTTTTTGCGAAGCGACAACTTTTTCTCGATTAGTCGAGAGGCGTCTTTTTCTCCTACAGCTGGTTGAGAGACACCAGCAGTGGTGGAAGACGAAGTAGTAGCTAGGGGCTGGCCCACTGCACAGATTGTCGTTCCGCTTTTAGAACCATATGCTTTTCTGAGAGCTTTCGGTGTTCCTTGAACTTTTGGAGTGATTCCATTATTGTCAAGGTTTTCCTTGGCGTCTTCCACCTTGGAATCTTGCTTTTTGACGGGAGGTTTTTGAAGAGGAGCAGGAGCTGGAACGGGGGCAGGAATAGGGATGGGGGTTAGGGTAGGGATAGGTTTAACTTCTGGTTTAGCTTCGGCAGGAATAGGAGTAATGCTCGGAATGGTGGGTGAAGTCCCTAAGGGGGTTGTTGATGGTTCCGGTTGAGCCAATGGCACCGGCATTTGAGTAGTCGGTGGCTTCACAACGGCCGCTGATTTCTGGGTTGAATCAGCGGGTTTTTGAGCTGAACTGGTATTGGCCTCAGCGTCAGCTGCCCGCCTTGAACTTTCCTGGGCGGCTGCGGCCAACCGCGAGGCCTTAGAGGGCATCCGTAGCGACGCACGCTTCAGTTCCGTCAACTTCCCACCCGGAACCGCACCGCTGCCTGAAGCATGGGGAGGAACCGGTGGTGGCTGCTCATCTTTAACCACAGCTTGAACGGGCTGTTCAACTGCCTTGGTGACGGGAGAAAATGACCGCCACAATTCCTTCCAACTATTATAGCTCCTATAAACTTGCGGATCGGAATTACAGCGCCGCAAAGAGGCAATAAGTAGCGTGTTTCGGCGACGCGAAACATAGTTTTTATATTTACGCTTTCGAGGAATAACAACTAGGGGTAGTCGCCGAAGCGAATGTTGAGGGGGTTCTTTCTTCGGCATTGGCACGGCCAAGGTTTTCGGTTGTACCACTTGGCGTTGTGGTGCCGGGGCGAGGACAGCCCTTTGGGGTAGTTTGGAGGAATAGTAACGAATAGATGCTTGTTGTGGATCTGACGCCTTGCGGGCGGGGGTTGGTGATAGAGGGGAAGGTGTCCACTTGGATGTCGTGGCAGACCTTGGGGACCGGGTGGATGGTCTAGACGTAGAAAGTAAGGATTGAGTATCAACAAGTACGGCGTCTAAAGATTGGAAGGCGACCGCTGGGCCGCCGCCGTATGGTGGGGGATTGTCGCGCGGAATTGCTGGGCAGCAGCCACAGCCTTCTGCGGTGTGGAAGGCCCCGCACCGACAGGAAGGAGTAGCAGCCGGAAAAGGGAGATGAGATGGAGGGAGGAGGATGTGCTGGTGCTGGACAAGCCGTGCGGCGACGACGCCCCCCTGGCTTTCGAAGGAGCCTGACGGCACTTTACACACACACCACACTCTGAGGGGAGCCCGAGCAGTATGGCCAACGAAGGGGAAGGGGAGAAAGACAGCCGGCTGGCACTCGGTGGCCAACGAGAGGATGGCCAGGGGCAACCCTTCTTTTCTGTTTTGAGGGGGGAGACAGTGGAGATAGTGTGTGGCCCTAGTTGTGAGGGGGGAAAGAGGGGTGATGAGGAACGGGTATCGGTCACCATTTGGCTTTGGGGCTATTTCTCTAGGGTTGTGAACAGGGCTTGGGTCGAGTAGAGCCATTGATCTCACTACTCATCATTGTCGAATGGGAGGGAGCAACAGTCGGGAATGCCCCCCAAAAGCCATCGACAGCTTAGACGGTCGATGGTTTCAACTGGGCGGGAGGTGCTTTGATGTAGGTAGATTTTAAAGGGAGTGTGACAGTGCTAATTTAGCCGCTCCTCCATTTTTACACTTGTAAGTTATGGCCTTATACCAACTTTTAATCAATCTTTCGGATTTTTAAAGTCAAGTTTAATTTTTCCCTTACCACATTAAAAACAATCGGCCCGTCAGAAGACACAGAAGATGTCTGTCGCAACCCGGCGCGACCATTTAGGTTCAGGTCAGCCAAAAATTTCCACTCGTCATTCCAGTCTTTAGGGAACATCGCTACAAAAAATATCGGTGATTTTAAGAAAGAAGATGGAAGAAAGGAATTGATAGTTTGGGCAGGCGGCGTTGGAGCGCTGGCTTTTAATAAAGGTGTCAAGCTGAATTAAAAAGCTTGGATAGAGGTCGGGAGTGAAAATAGGTGGAAATAGATTTAGCATTTTTTTTAATTCTGTTCTGAATTTTAAATCTGCTGGACAACTAGTTTTAGATGTTTTTCAGGCCTTGGAACGTCGAGGACAAGGTAATTTTTGATCTGAGCTGAAAGACTGGTGGAAATAGCTCGATAATAGCAGAAAGAAACGAGCAAGACCGTTAAGCAATTTTTACTGAAAAAGAGGGATGTTGAAGCACATAAATCGATGTTGCCCGCCGGCTATATCTTATAGACTGTACACCGAGAAGGGCGCAGAGGCCGGTCTTATGATATTCCCCTAAAAAAACGTGTGACCAGCACCCACCACCCGGTGGTACCACCATTCGCGACTGTAAAGTAAAAATGGGAGCGATCGGTTTGATTGATTTTTACGAAAACGTCTGAATCCGTTAGACTTACGATAATTTTGACTGGTGGCGGGCTGGAAGAGGAGAGTGTGATTGTTGTGAAACGTTTTCTGGGCACTTTCATCGCCTGAAAAATTCAAGATAGCTTATACATTATTAGACAAGGCCTTGCGTTTGGAAAAAAAAAGGTTTTTTTACAAACCTGGTCTGGTCGTTTGCCTTTTTGAGAAGAACTTGCGGCTGAGGGGCTTGGGTCTTCCTAAAAAAACACATAAAAATGGCGGAAGTCGATCACTGACGTTTTGTTTTCTTGTTTTGTGAGCTCGAGAAGTGTGGCTAGACGGAGGTTTCACCTAAAACATCGCAAAGGTATTTTATTTACCCTAGAGAGACCAACAACGTACGCAATACATACGAACATTTGTTGAAAACCCCCACCTCAACCCGCTTCGTCTTAGCTGCCGGTGCTGCGACTACCGTATGCTTCCCTCCCTAAACTCCCATAATCCTAATCGCAATTCACAATACTTTTGGTGCTTTGGTGCAACTGGTACTGCTGTTTCGGCTATCCGATTCGCTGCTCCTACTGTGCTCCGGTTCCTCAGCTTGTGATGAGTATTTTTGCTACAAACCACTAAGACACCACAATGCTTTTACATACCCACAACGTCCGTTTTGGGGGTAGATGTGTGCGTACGATCATTTCAGAGACGATTTCACTCTTCTAAAGGCATCGTATATAGAGAAATCGAAACTCTTAAATTACTTTCGCCTTTACTGGAATTGCTGTAGGTTTCTTTCGTTGTTTATAGCGACTTCCTGATGGCCTTTTCATTTCTTCCACCGTTTCAGCAGCATTATCCTGATTCAGAAATAAAATTTGAAATATTTTGGCTTACTGTAGCTGTTTCGTTTAATTTTCCTGAAGTTGTATATCGCGCTCCAGTTTCGCTGTCCATTGTGGAGACCTTAAATTTCACAAATCAAGATCATAAATGGTACGCACCGATGTGTTTGAAACCCGTTTGTTTGATGCCAACGACGTTTTTCGAGACCAGGTAACCGCGCGACTCTTCGTTGACGATACGGTAGATGGTCGGGATTTTTGGCTAAATAAAGTTTACTTGATTAATATATTCGTTCAATCTATTTTTTTAGCATTAGTTTATTTGAATAAAATTGTTCTAAGCCTTTTAGTTGCATTCTTACCAGGGGCTGGAGACTGCAATCACTCGAGATCGAAGCGAAATAATTTTTCTCGGAGGACTCGTGGCTACTGAAAATTTAGATTTTTTCATTTTTTAAATGTAAAACCCTACCATCTTTCAGGGAGGAAGAAGCCTCCATTGCGCACGATGAAGAACCATCACTAAATTAGAATAGAATATTTTTTTCTTAATGTTTTTGTTGCTTATCTAACAAGTCAATCAGTCGATCAGTCAAATCAGTTAGTGGAGACTGCTAGGTGACAGAATTGATGGATTGAGACAGTGAGAAAGGAAAATCTGATTACCCTGACGATCCATCACTGTGTTTCAGGCGGGCACGTTTCGCCTCCGTCAAATCTGGGATACCGGCCGCTAAATTTTTGTAATTACATTTAATTACTAATTAGTTGTTAAGCAGGGTACCCGCCTAACTGTTTTGCTACCGGCATTAATGCGACGATTATTTTAATGATTCCAACATCCGATAAGTTACGGCAAAGTATTGATATCTATTAATTAGCATTCTAGGGATCATATTCGATTCATTTCTAACTGCTGTTCTCAAATCCAATGAGTTAGGTCGGATAGAAAGTACAAACGATAGACCACTAAACTTACGTGGTGATAATGGTCGCTTCAGCTTGTAGTATTCAGACCCGTATAGACTTTTGCAAAGTTGCTCGACGGCCACCAAGTCCATCGCGTCAACCCCCCTTGGAGCGGGCTAGAATAGGAAATTAAAAATTGGAAATCGTCGGTATCGGGTTCTCGACAACACGAAGAAACAGAAAACGGTCGATACATTGAGATCTTTGGAATGGGCCAGTCAATATATGCGTCTTTTCCGCTGGGTGCCGGCTCCAAAAAAAAGGCTTCAGCCCCCCTACGGCCAGGGGGGTGGGGGGCGATGCTGAAAGTGGTAAAAAGAGCCCTCCCATTCGCTCCCGGAAGTCTACAGCAATTTGTAGGCATTGCATCAAAGATGGGGGCATTGATTTTGTGAATTGAGAAATTGGAAGTATGCGTCGAATAGAGGTGAATCGATCTTGATAGAGATTGATGCTATCGTTTGGGTCGGGGCAAGGAGAGAAATCGCAACAAACGCGTGATAGGGTTTTTGGGAATTTTTGTGTGCAAGCAAATGGATGGATTCTAGGGTGAGTTTGAGCAAGAAGCATACGAAAAGCCTTCTTTATTTTGATAAAGTTTAGTCTTTCTAATATGAATCCGTCCATTTAAACTATTATTCGATTTTTGGCAATGCAAACCCCCATTATTCTTATCATCGCCATATATTCAAAAATCATACTGAATCACTTCACAATTATCAATTTGCGGTACGACGGAAGTTTTTTGAACCAACCGCGTGCTTATCATTTCGGCTCTTTCCCTTTGTCCAAATTAAAAGAAAGCAAGCCAGAAACAATCCAAAATGTGCAAGCCCTTCTCGCCTGCCCCCCCATATGACACCTTTTTGCTTGATAGGAAAAGTTGCGAGGTTATCGCAAAGATCGATCCGTTGACCGATTGCATATAGTGAGGGGAGGAGGTCATTGCCAAATAAGTTTCACCAAATATATGCAAATAAAATTTGGCAATTTTCAGTCTTTCTTTCGAAATCGATTTTCCTGTTGCGCAGGTTTTTGGGGGTGAGAAACCAGGCAGGTGCAGGGCGGAAAAAAGAAAAACACGCGCGATTACCCTGCTGGGTGCCCAAAAATGGATTCACGAAAAGTAATTAAATTTGGTGATGTGGAAAATGGAACGGAATATTGAAAAAATATACGGAAAAAGTTTCACGAGATTTTCGCAAGTTTTCTCAGGCGTGTTTTGTAATTATTATTACACAAAAATACAAAAGAATTGGATTGACTTCGTATAAAAATATTATCAATTAAAAATTTTTCTTAATAGAGCGCCCCATTTTTAAGACGCGATCCGGAAAATACAGTAGATGTTGTGGAAAATAAGTGAAAGCAAAAATAGGGATATCCTCAAAAAGGGATCCGCGCAACAGAATTCGGTTTCACCGAAAATTGTGCTTAAAACTGCAAGTGGGCCCTTGGCCTCAGGGCCCAGAAAACAATCAACGAGACGGGGAGGCGAGACCCGCGTTTCCACGTGAAAAGAAGCTCTTTGGGGCTGGCCGCACTGCGCCATTTTGCTCCCCCGTCTTTTTGGCGATGGGGCACACAAAAATCAAAGTCGCAGCGGGTCCCCCGTGGAATGTTGCCAGCGGAGTACACCGGAAATACCGTATTTTCGACAAAAAATAAGAGTTCGGTGGACATAGGGTAGTGATGGAGGATGGTGTAATATTTCTCTATTACGATCCGAAAATTAATTAGAAAATTAATTTTTATTTTCGGTATTTTCCATATTTTCAATGCCGTTCGAAGGTGCGAAAAAATATATGAAGAGTTTTTATTGCCAGAAAAATAATTATTTTTATTCTATCATTCTATCTCCGGCCCCGGTCCAATGTTTACCGTAATTTTCGGGGTTTAGGAAAAGATTTTGACGGTCCAAAGCTATATTATTGAGCAACCATTAATGACTAAAAGGTTGACGATGCTGTTTTTAGAAAATATTTCTACAGTACCCCCAATCTCCCAACTGGCTCAGTTTCCGCCCCTCAACTACACACCACGTATTCCCCGAAAGTGATCGTAGATCCGTTCAACACTTCTCCTCCTTCTCCTTCTCTCTTCCTCTCCCCCCATTCATTGTTTATTTCACCTGTCCGCCCGGGGGATCGCCAACGATTTTTCAGGCCCAACCAATCGATTCCCGGGCCGTCCAAAATCCACGAGGGATCATGAAAAAGGTGCTTCCCAGGACTGGCCAGGGTTAAAAATGCTAGCCACTAGCCAGTCAGGGGTCGTGGACCCCTTTGGGTTGCCTCACAGACCCCCAAAAAAGAGCACCGGATGAAAAAGACCGAGAGAGGATGAGAGAGAGAGAGAGAGAGAGAGAGAGAGAGAGAGAGAAGAGGAAAAGAAGAACGAGAGAGGGAAGGGGCTGGTGAGGCTATTGATTGAGGGTGTGGGTGTAGAGATGGGCTGGTGAACGGTTGTGTGTGTATGTATGTCGAATGGGGCAGCAAAGGGTTGGGGGGTTTTGTCGCGGAAGGCCAATCTTCTCTTTGAAAGGAGGGAGATTTGGATTAGGTGGTGCATGGGGTGGGTAGTCAGGTCGTTGAAGAGGGTGAATGTGAGAGGATGAAATTATAGGAGCGTTGGGCGCGGCGCACACGCCGGATTTCGCTCATTTTTGGCCCCAAGCAGAAAGGGAGAGGCCCAGTTGGAGGAGAAGAGGGCCAACGGGCCAATTTGCGAGTGAGACGGGTCAATTGTGTATGTGCGTGTTTGAGCTGTCTTTGGGATTTGAAGGCACTGGATGGTGGGTGTGGGGGGGTACTTCTTGTCGCCGGTTGGATGGAATTATGGCCGGGAGGAGGAGCAGGAGGAGGAAGAGGAAAAGGAGAAGAAATGGAGGATAGTTGGGAGAAGGCCGAAAAGAAGGAAGACCGGAATTCATCTCCAATTCCGACTTCTTTCGCTCGAGGGGCACAACTTTTTTCGGGGTGTTCTTTGCATTCGGGACAATGCATTAGCAGTGAAAGTGGCTCAATAGAAGCGAAGATTCAAGGTGAAACACATCAGATACTTAAAGTTAGAGAATTTGAAGTACTCAAAGCTACTATTTGGTATCGATAAGGATTTAGATATTACTCATTCGAAATTTCTCACTGCCCGACTACCTCTAAAAACGAAAACCTAAATCCACATCTAAAAAAGCATATCCAAACAACAAAGCGCCCATTACCGAAAACCGCGCTTCATGCAAATCCCCCAAAAAGATGAGAACAAACGGGGATCCCAGGGAGAAATGGTGACCTAATGACTATAAGCGCAACAAATGTAAGCATCTCCCGGGGAGTAGGGTAAAAAGTCATCCATCCACCTCTTCCTTGCCCAAAGCATGTGAGGGCAATTTCGCAGTCGAGTATGTGGCCGTTTTTGCAAAGGCTAGCCGTCCCGAAAACAAGAGACTCATGGCTGCCAGATAAACAGTAGAGAGTGGCTGGGGGCCCATTGCCGTTCGATAGCCCAAAAGGAAACAGAGTTTTCCAAAGAATTGATTCGCCACGGGGTTGCGAGCTGTTTTTGGGATTAAGAAGATGCGGTTGTAGGGCCCAAGGTATTGAATGTACATGTTTTGGCTCTAAATTGTACTTTTCCCGGGTCGGCAGTTTAATTTCTTCCAACAAATAATCCTTTCAGGTAGAGGAAATGGTGATGGTCTACGCGCAATCTCGATGCAATGAATTATAGTGCAAAATCAAAAATGCCCTAAAACGGCCTCCAACTCATAGCAGACAGTCGAGGGTCGCGCCCCAAAAAAAATGGATTGCTGGTGGCCGGGTCGCCCTTTGCGGTCGCGCTACGCGCTAGTTGAGGGTCGGGTAGAGCTTGGCAGCATTTTGGAAATAAACATTCAAGTATCGATTACCAAAAAAAAATGAATCCTGAGAAGAAAGTTAATTAATGAATCAATGAAAATAAATGCGCATATGTGGATATATGGCTTCCCGAAAAATAACTAATTCTATCGTAATATTGATAGCCCATCCCGTTAGGCTAGTTCCGCGCTAAATAAGTAGCAAGCTTCCAAAAGAGTTGCCTTTTTGCACTAAAGCAAAGCACGGCTCGTCAGGCCTTACCAAAAACGCACTTCTGGGGGGGTGCGGGCCCTCTCCCCGGGGATAGTGGGTTAACCTCCCAGGCGAGCCCCCTACACCCCCCGGGTTCGGTTCCTCTGCGGCGCAAACTCCCCCATTTTGGTGATCTTTGTTTTGCTTTTTGCTCCAATATATCACCAATCGTCTACTGTAACACAAAATCAAATAATACTCGCGAAAAAGCCCCAGAAAATAGCAAAAAGCGGCCAGAACCCGTTTTAACAAAGTGAATCCAAAAACAGTCGCAATTTCGCTCCATAATCAGCTTTCAGGGTTGCTATTACAATTTTTTTGGTGTAGTAACGATAATAAGTACCCTCTGTGGGTTTATGTTAGCAAAAGTGGGCTACAGATCACGAAGCTCCTGCTCCAAGCGTCCAAGTGCCCGAGTATCTTAGCTATTTTCTTAATAGGAGGTTCATAATTCAGCAGTTTTTCGATTAATACTACATTAAATTGATATCGTTACCTAGAAAACCGCCATACAAGGCTTAAATCCTTCCGGCTGAGGTGCTAGCATCGAAACATTAGGATCGCCATCGGACAAGAGCTTATCTTTTCCAGAACTTCCCTTATTAATTCAAAAGCATGTATCGTGACTCCGCCCAACCTTTTCGCGAGATTTGATCGTATTTTGATAACAACAGGCTGAAAAACTAGCCATAAACCAGCTGGGTCGAAAATTTCGGGAACTTTAGGCTTCAAAATCTCCTTATTTTGGTGAGAAATCTCATTGCGACCCACACAGTTCGATAGAGAATTTTTTTCTCTACCAAGTTCCCACTCCTCCCGAAGATTCGAAATCATATACAAAAAGTTATTAGAAGAAAACCTAGATTTTCTGAGTTTTTAATATGGGAGGCGCCGCCCCTCAGAGCCCCGAGGGCAATAGGCGCGCCCCGTACTAAAGTGCCCTTTGACGAGCCGTGAAAGAGCCAAAAAAAAATCAAAGTAGAATTTTTCCTTCTAAATTCGAAAAGTGCGCATTTATCCAGTGGTTATGAGGAATTACCAGAACTGTTTTCGGATAACCGGTAAGGGCAATTTTTTGCAAATTGATTTAGATAAAATACAAAATCCGTATTGCCCTGTGAGACAAGAAAAACAGGCAAAACTACAGCAAAAACAATTTTGGTATCTAGTCAAAAAAAATCGGTTTTTAAAAGCATTTTATGCCGAGTTACAAGAACAATTTCCGGGTGAGCGCAATTGTTTGTTGGGGCGGTAGGGGTGGCAAAGCCTGAGGCTGGGTTGGTTGCGCGGATTTGGCCGGGAGGTACAGAGCGCGGGGTGGTGGTGGCCGGGTCGAGGGGTCAGCCACCACCTCTTCCTCTACCAATCCTCCTATTCCTTCTTTCCTTCTTTTCCTATCCCTCGACATACACACACCCACATCAACCCCCCGATATCCTCACTTTCACCCGGCCACAAAGACCCAATCGACAGATGGCCGACCGCATAGCAGTAATTTATTGGGCACGTTCTCAGCGGATGGCCCTCCGGATTCTGAGCGCCAGCATCCTCATCTTGTGCCTAATTGGCCTCGCGCGCAGAAAACATTGAAGAAGCCGAATGGGACCCATCTGAATAACGTTGTAGTGAATGGTCAAATTGGGCGGCAATTCACTGGCGTGAGATCTAAGAGGCTATTCGACCACCAAATACGAACGTAATATTTTTTACGATTTAAAAAATCGGGCTACCTTGGATAGGCGACGACCCCGACACGTCTTATAAAGCCGGAGCCAAACCAGAGCCCGAACGTAGCTTCTATCAAACATACATAAGTACTTACACAAGCTTGCACCCCCAGGTCAAATTAAGTAAGTTAAGCTTAAACCAAGTAGCTTATGCGCTTGGCTCTAAGGCAAGGCAGGCCCAACATGTGCACCGCCACCGAAAATCCATTGTGATCGTGTGGAGTAATGCTACCAGTAGAACGCATACATATGTAAGCCCTTTCCCTTGCATCCAATTCCGGTAACTATTTATCATAAATGAACAATGGTGACTAACTTAAACCCAAATACACAGGAAGAGACTGGGCAATCTCGGGGGGAATTTAAAACAAACAAAAAATGGTGTTAGGACACAAAGGAGGCGCTCCCGTATTTCGGAATTCGAGGACACAAAAACAATAATATCTACTCCCTTTTGCTGATGGCGGAGGCCGGAACACATAAGATGTTAGCTATTTTTGAGGAGTTTCCTTCGCTTCGGGGGTGGGGGTTCTTACGACACGACAAAAATAGCCTAGGTTTTAGTAACAAAAGTTGGTTGTAGAAGCCTAGCAATTATCAGAACCATGCTTGCGCATAGAAGCGGATGATTACCAGAATCTAAACAAGCCAAGGGGTAAGTGTAGGGTTGAGCGAAGGTTAGTGAGTGTTACGCTGATATGTGGATAGAATTCGTAGAACGAAGAAAGGTTCGGCGAATCTCCAGAAAAAAACGCAAACAAATCACATAAACGTTAGGTACCAATTAACCCACATAAGGGTGAACCCATTTCGCTAGAGAGAGGTACGAATTAGGAAATGGACATATGATTTGAGCAAAAAAGGGGGAAACTGGTAGGTTGGAGATGCACCGGAAGTCGGAAAGAATTCTACTAGGTACGGAGTCGACTCAGGGGATGAACAGTGCCATCATGGGCACGCTTCAGGAAGCGGAGATCCAGAAGAATTATCTAAATTTCAAAAATATACAGAAGGCAGATAATAACAAACCGCTCCATCAGAGGTGCAGGCGGCCAGCTTTTCTCCCGTACGATTGATGCTAATCTCGAAGACGCCACCTTCGGCCTTGCTGCCCTTGAAGACCGTTACCGGACGCGCGGACTAAACACGAAATAATTTCGATGAAATGTCCCTTACGTTGCAATCCCAAATGATCACAGAACGGTCAAAGCTACCCGAGGCGATGACGTTTCCGTTGGGTCTAAACAGAAATAAACGCCATTTCTTGAAAAGTACCCAAAGGCAATGGAATAGACCGGATCGGTGTGGCCGTGCAGAATGGCTTTTTCACGGCCCTGATCGGCCTCCCATAGACGAACCGTCTGATCGAAAGAGGCACTAAAATAACATACTTAAATTTCTAAGCGTTCGAACCTGGCCAAAATGTGACCGACTGGTGACCAACGAATCGTGTATATCTCACGCGTGTGATTGTCAAAGCTGTGGATAGCTTCGTCAGCGTCCAACGACCATATCTACAAATCCATTGCATAAAGCCACGGGAAAAAATACCTTAATCGTCTTGTCATCGGAGCAACTGGCAAGTCTGTTCGAATATTGGTCATATCGGACAGCATTCACCTCACTTGTATGTTGCTAAAAATGATTGCAGGGTGCGAAACGCCAAATGCGACATACGCGGTAGGTGCGCAACGGTGTGGCCATGCCCATTTTGCAGACATGGATTTGAGCATCAGTGGAGCAGGAAGCGAAAGAATCATCAGAGACCCAGTCGACGTCGAGCGCAGAGGCCTCGTGGAATTGGAATTGCTGCTTGTGCTTGCCTAAATCATCATTGTTATAGTGACTTTGGATCGAAGGCTTACGAGAAATCGTATCCCAGACATTCGTAGACTTGTCAACACCAGCTGAGAGCACATAATCGCCGGAAGGACTCCAGCGGAGCGCGAAGACAGGGCCCTTATGACTGCCGAGAGTTGTCATCAGGCTGCCTTAACAAACTGCCTTTAAAAAATGAAGGGCTGAACTACCATTAGTGGTATCCCAAATTCTCGCGAAGCCATCGTAGCAGCCAGTGGCAATCTTGTCACCGGTCTTGTGCCAATCAATTGACGTCACGTCCTTATTCGCAGGCTTCGTCTCAGCATTCAATGTGCCCAGGTAATGTCGGAGCACAAGACTCTCGTTTTCTGCCGCTTTGACGTTGTCCAAACTATGGAGCTTCCACAGACGAGCCGTCGAATCGCCCGATCTAAATGAACGTGATGATACGTTGGACCACACTTACCCAGAAGCCAGGACGTCTTCCTTCGGACTCCACGAGCAAATGAAAACCTCGTGAAAGTGCTTCTTCAGGACTTTGACTCGATCCTTTCCGATCTCCAAATTGTTCAGGTCAACGAGTGTAGCAGGTGCAAGGGCTCCATTGAGGCTAAAAAATATATATAGCTAATAATTGGTAAATCACTTTTCTGATGACGCTGCAGTGGCAGCCATTTGCTTTTTCACGATCGGGGGCATCGCATCCTCGGCGGCAACGGCTTCCTGTGGCTCTGCTGCTTTGGCCTTAAAAAGCAAAGTATACATAGCAAGTATAATAAAACCTTCTGTCCTTTCTTCGCATATCCGTTCTGGCGATTGTTCGTGTTATTATTGGCCTGTGGAGTCTTGACTTGAGCTCGGGAGGCATCCGCCGCTTCCGCTGGCACTTCTGAAATGTTATGTAAAATAGAAGGAACGACAGAATAAAAACATTTCCGCTGCTCAAATAGGCAGCCATGCACCAGTCCTTAAACAAAAAAAATGAGCCACACTTCGGCCAGAGTCGGCGACCATTGGCCAAACTTACCAGGTTTGACATTGGGGGCCGCTGTCTCAGCGCTGGTAGATGGGACATCAACGTTGTTGCTTGCATTCAGATACTGATCGGCTGCTTGTTGGGCCACCTCGCGCATTTTGTAGCGCAGTGCTTCTTTCTCTTCCGCTAAATGAACGAATTAAAACGAGAACCGGGATCACTCGTCAACATTCGATAAATCAATTACCGGCATCAAAAAGCGTGAGCCTTTCCTTCAGTACTTGGGCCGCTTCGGTGGCATTTGGAACCATCGCAATTAGTTCCGATTCCGCATAGAACATGCCACGTTGTAGGATCTTTATTAGCGCAGCGTACGGAACTTCGCGGCCACCATTCTCGACGTTCGATGCCTTCGATTCGGACCCGAAGACGAAAGCAGAGTGGTCGTAACCTATAAAAACAGATATCGGAAGGCTATTATAATTTAACCAGGGTTGAAAAGCCGCTTCGCGACTTTTCAACCCTGGACCCGTCTTGGACCCCATGCTATTCCGCCCTTTGCATAATTGTCGTTCATTCAGCAGGCAAAAAAATGAAAAACAACCCCGTCTGCCTCTTTATATAGACGACTGCCCACTTCCGGTCTATGCTAATTCTTCCTAACAAAGAGGTTTTTACACAAACCTAAATTTAATAGCGAAAATGGCTAATTTTTCAAAATCTGATGTGTGTGCAGTCATCCCTAGACCATTACGCACCTAATGACGTATCGAACGTGGCCTAATATCCCTCCGTTCTTGAGATATCCTCTGGACAGCCAGACGGAAGTGGATGCAAAGTGGCACACACACACAGACACACAGACACCATTTTCTTATATATAGTAGGATCTCCATCATTTTCGCTTCGAAATTTTGTTGACCTTTCTGGGGCTAACACCTAATTGCTATTACCCGTGCATTGAACGGGGACCCGGTGAAAAAGTGACGCCTGCAGGACAGGGGGCGGGGCGAGCAAACGGAGAGGCGCAGACAACATCGAGAGGCGGTCAAGCCATAGAGACGCAGACGATTCGCTGCATTTGAAGGCACACAGAACTAGGTTTCCCACAAAAAACCACCCTTTCTTGACCGAGATACAGGGAAGGGAATACTCGTCAACTTACCAGCTGTAAGGGTATAAAAAACGGAAAGGCCAGAGAGCTGGTAGGATTAAGGCATGGAGGAAATCCCAGTTACTAAGAAAGAGGACCTCGAAAACGGCGCGTGATAAGCTTCGTTTTCGGCAGATGCATTCGTACTATGAAACCGTGGCTATTACAAAAACTAGTCAAATACACGCAGCTACCTAAAAACAGCCCTGTGGGAGTATCCCGACTAACACCCATGATTCACCCTTTCCCGTAGCCAATTAAATAAAACGAAAACACGCTTGGAGACCATAATCCTAGCTACCAACGGAATTAATTTTCCCGATTACGAGCTTCACCCGAGTTAATGCGCTGATCCCATTTGGGCGGCTTTAGTATAGCTAAACCGCAAAGAACTAATTTACAGTTTTTAAACGCAGCCCGACGCGACACTTCTTGGGGCCCGTTCGTACTCATTTTTTGCTGAACTTGCCATAAATGCTTGCTTGCCGGGATAGAGGGGGGGGGGGGCTAGTTTTTTCGTTCACGGCCTTTCTTCCAAAAGGATCGACCCCGGGGTGGGCAAAAGGGGGGCAAGGGGTATCCAATGGACAGCTGTCTGCGTCTCCCCATCCCGATGCTCTCTCGAAGAGAGTGTCTGTCTGCTTGAATGTCTCGTTCCCCACAATGCTCGCTATCTATCCCACGCTCTCTTCGCCAACCTTTCCACCCCGCGTCCCCCAGGCCAGCGCGGAGGCCGATCGATCGGCCGTGGGCCAAAGAAAGAAGGGGAATGCGAATGAACTAGCCACTCACTCAGCCCAGCCCTTCCCCCCATTCCCCACATGCGATCACAAACATAACCTGGGGGCTCGCGAGTATATTCTCGATGAATCAGATCAAAAGAGCGCCTGAGGAGATGGCGTCTATCTGGGGGTCCTAACCTTGAATGACAATCCGCCTTTAAAATATTAAAAACCAAAATATCGTATGTTGAATGGTTATTGAAATCCCGCTTAAAACTTTCAGCTAACATCACGGCAAAGGCCCTTTTCGTGCAGTTGAGGTGCATCAGGCGACATCTGAGCATCAGCGAATGCGTACGAACCTTAGGGCAAATACAAACCGCCTGGGGCGGGATTTAGTGTTTTTAACGGTTAAGGACTTGATATTCCCAGAACGGTACCTTTCGGGAGTGCTATTGTTCGATAGTGCTTCGTACCCCCGGAGAAGGCGCTGCAAGGATCGACAAACGAAATTTCGAAACGCTATGACGTAAGCGAAAAGGTGTTATTTTGAGGATAAATGAACAGAAGGGCAGGAATTTCAAAAAGAAAACTGACCGGCTTCGATGAGATATCGATGGATCAGCAAGTTCAGTTCGTCACTTGAGAAAGACATCTCGCAATTGGCATTCTATAGTTGAACAAACGATGACACTCTACACGGCCCGTGATGTCGACGTAGTAACCAAAGGTTTTGCCCTATAAAGAAGTAATATAAGCGAGCGCAACGTGAATTTATGAACGATGGGAGGAAAACACAAATTGTAAACAGATCGACCTTGAGGAAATAGCCATGCGCTACTAGTAGGAATCTTATACCGCTTTTACATTGAAGTAACCGCTCTGAAGATTTGTGTGAACGAAAGGCGACCACCTGGACACAATTTGCTTTCAAAAGCGTTTCTAAAGCTAAAAGTTGTAATTTCAACTAATGTCCAGAATTGCGCTAGATCTACCAAAAGTGCGCTATAGGTAGAGAATTTTGCGAGGAATCCAATGGTGAAAAAAGTTTCACGAAATTTTGCGTGTGCGCAAAGAAATGGCACGAGTCCAAATCACGTAGTGTGGGTGAAAATTGGAAGTAGACGTTTGGAGGGGAGAGGGATAGGGCAACGGAGAGACCCCGAGAGCCCCCAATCGCGAGAGATCATAGGATGTGAGAGGGGCGAGACCATGGAAAACGGGGGACCGGCTGAAAATAGAGAAAACCTCTAAGGACTTTTGTACCCAAACCCTTGACGTTTAAACTTTCAAAAATATACACGGATACTAAGAAAATAAAGCTCTTTCGATTGAAATACTTTTCAAGGCGCTGGACCCATTTTGAAGCACACTTGTGAAAATAAGCTAGAGCCCGTTGTTTTCGAAAATCAATGTGTATCCATGTAGGGCTACTAGGGTGGTGAAATCATGATGGTAAAGTCTGACCGCTTTCTCGGAAACATAAACAAGGTTAGAGCTTTCTAAATGGAAGCAGCCGAAACAGATGAGATCGAGGTCCACGGGCTCAGAAAAACGATTTCACGTATTTCCCGGACCAAGCAATGTCGATACGAAGAGGGTTGATAGGAAAACGAGATTGATTTAAACATTAATGCCTCAAAATCGACAAAAGTGTGCAGCGAAATTGCAAAGAAATCACAAACCGAGTCGCTCATAAGCTAAAGTCGCCCACGGCTACGCGATAATACAACGTACAAATTAAAGATAAGCGTTCCACGACTCTGATCAGAGCAGGAAGTAAAAATAAGGAAAACCGTCAACGCTGCACTGCTACAAGGCTAGACTACGTTCCTGCTCAAAAACTAGTTCTCAGAAGCCGTAGATGGCTGGCTATCGGGCGATAGGCATTTGTAAGACCTGAGCAGCTCTTTATGATAATATTCCCGGCCTTTCTCCAGAAGTGGTCTCTCAACGTCTAAATTGCTATAAATGGGTCTCGGGTAACGTATCTACGTTCCAATTTCTATTAATTTTACAAAAGACCCTCTCTTCACCAGATTACCCCTGGAAAAGCAGCCTGAAAAATAGTTGATTCATTTGTTCTTTGGCGGACAAATAGATGTGGAGAGGCCAGACGGTGGGGGTGAAAAGCAGAAAAGGGGAAGAGAGGAGCCGTGTGGGGGGATGACCCGAGGGCTCCGGAGTAGTGTGAGAGCTTGTTCATTGAGAGAGGGGATAGATGGTGAGATATAGAGAAATCCTAGAGAGCCGAGACGGCGAAGGCGCAGACCCCACACACACAATTTGACAGATGCCGCTGGCAGACGGCCAGACCCGGTACCCTAAAAAGCAGGAGAAGACCAGGCTCCAACAGGGTAAAATTTTGTTTGAATTCGTTGTTCAGTTAGGCGCCTGGCAGCTGACAGGAAGTAGAAGAGCTTCTCACCAAACGAGCCGACGACTTTTCTGGAATTTGCAGATAGGAATGCATTGAACAACCATAAATGATTGCCGGACTTATGTAGCTCTTCCACGAGAGCTGTTTGAGATTCTCAAACTATCAGCTTGTTGAACATTTCTGCGCGCGTCATGACATTGGTTAGGCTAGGTTGGGTTGTCGTTCAAATCCGTGGTTTACCTACTCAAAAACTTTCCTATCCCAGTTGATGGACTTCCATAACCGTGCGTTTTTTCTGTTTTACCGAATATGGGGACAATCCGGCATATCTGAATCTAACTAATGGGGGATGTGAGGGCGTGTAGATTCCGCTAGAAGCCCCTTTCCGGTGCAATCGTGATTGGTGGCCCGATTTGAGCTCCCGGAATGCCTTGTGTAAACCTTGAAAAATTCGCACTCTTTGAATCAACAATTTTTGCATTTTGCGATCGAAGACAGTGATAGGTCCCGTGTCTGTTTTGATGGGCGTATGGGGGGTGAGCGTGGAGATTGTGAGGCCGGAGTGATACGGGTCCGCTCTCTTCTTTCTTTCTTTCTCTCTGTCTGCCTCTCTCTCTCTCTCTCTCTCTCTCTCTCTCTCTCTCTCGCTCTCTCTCGCTCCCTCTCTCACCTCTGTCCCTCTTTTTCTCTTTGGGGGTCGAATGTCTGGGAACGAGGGACCGGCCCTCCTAGGCCACCCGCTCACCAATAAACAGCATTCCTCTCAACATTATAAAAAACGAATTCCCATTACATAAGCCTCCACTTTGCTGACATGACACAATATAGCCTACTCAGCTTGGATTAACACGGTTGGCATGACTTACCTTTCAAGGGATTTTCAAAAAAGTAAGGATTAACCCCCGAGTCTGGCCACTAAATCACCAATTTCCTGATTGGGGGACTGGTATTAAGTCGCGGGGTAGCGTATCTAAGTGTGGGTTTCCGGAAAGGGAGGCGCCGCTACTAAATTCTGGGAGGCCTGCAATTTAGACTAATACGCTCAGCCGGCTGTCAGCTTTCTGGCGCTCCAAATGTATCTTGGGGGCGACGAAGGGAGGAGGGTTCACGCCAGGGCTCCATATGTCGAAATCGGATTCTCTCTATGACGGGAGAGGGCACAGAAAATGGTGATGAGAGAGAGAGACAGAGAGAGAGAGAGAGAGAGAGAGAGAGAGAGAGAGAGACCCTTTTTAGAGGAGAGGGTCTGACGAGTTGAAAGGATGGCGGGCGAGGCGAGGCCATACACCCCCCTCCCTTCCATTCTCCCCTCGATGCAGCCAACCCGCCCAAACAGCCCACAGCGCTCCCCTCCCCTTCTCCTCCTTCTATCGATCCAAACTAGCCAATCAAAATTCAAACATATTGTTAAAATCCCCCTTTCGGAATAATAAGTACTCCTCGATACGTTGCGATCGCCCGCAAGACCTAACCCATTCTAAAATTTTTGAGTTAATTAAAAATTTGCTAAAATTACTAGACTACATCAGGTTTTACGCACCTAAATTGGTCGTACTCTAGGAAGCCCATTCATCAATCTCGATTTCCGATTGTGCGGTACTAGGACTAGCCTTTTGAAACACGCGATACCTCCAATTTGTTGCAACAGCCCGAGTATCTACAGTAGTGGCTTTAAAGGAGGGTGCATACCGAATTTAAGCCATGAAATAACATAATTTGCATATAGACTAGTTTTGACCCCCTCCAAGACATTATGTGCGTTCGAATCAAGATCCCGGGAGGCGGCAGGCGAAGATGAAAAGCGTGTAATGAATTATGCATTAATGGGCTCCGAATTCAACGATCGTCCGAAAAGAAGGAATGCTGATCCTGAGGATGATTATTTAAAGGGGTTGTGCAGGTAGGAGGGAGGTGAATGGTCGGAAGTGGAGGGAAGGATATAGTAAACTCTCCAAGATGAATACAAAGAATTTATAAGTTGAAACCCTTTTAGGGGTGAACATGCCATGAAGTAAAAGACTAAAGCTCGCGAATTTGCATAAGGATGGTGAATTTATTTTAAAAATCGGTCGCAAAATGAGGAGGTAAGCCGAAAGAGTCTGCCAGTATTGGTCTCACGGTAAAGAGAAAAATGAAAAAATCAAATATCAAATGGTAAAACAGTAAAAAAACCGTCACTTCACATACCACTACGAGCCATGCTAACAACGCACCCCAAAAACAACATGCTACCAAGTTACATCCCAGCCGGGTCCCGCAAAGCTCCCCCTGACCCTAAACGCCCGACTACGGTAACAAAGCCACGATTGGTTAATCAAGATCTAGACTCGGACTGTTAGCAACGAACAACTTTTATACCCATGTACATTAATTATGGGTGCTTCTGAAAGCTCGGAACGATCAATTGAGCGCGAGGAAATTCGGGTTCCAAATAGCTGCTTCGAACGGGTGGAGAGGATCACTCGGAATAGAGATGGGAAACTTCTCACAGGTAATTACACCCTTGCTAATCTCAATCACGACCTGATAGGATTGCTCTTCGAAAGTTCACCGGCTTATGCAAACGAATGCAGGACTGCCATCCAGGTTTGTGGACAAAAAAATAATCGTAGAGCTACTAAAACAGCCCGGTACCCCAATACCGTCCGAATTTTCAGCATCTGAAAAGACTACGCCATCCGGACATCCTAAAGCTTTTGTCGCAAAAAGATCTTCGAGAAGGATCCTTCTTAACAGAATACGCCGAGCCAATTTCCGAACATTTGAAGAAACTCGGATCCTCCCAAGTGCAAAATGGTCTCTTCTCACTTGCAAATGCCTTGAATTTTCTACATGAATCCGTAAGCCAGAAAGACCTAATTAAGAAGAAAAAAAATCTAGGCACGGATCTCCCATAACAATATTTGTACCTCGTCGATTTTTATACGACCGAATGGCAGCTTTGCGCTTGCGGGGTAGGTACCAATATTTGCATAAAAGACTTGGGTTTAGCTTTGAATATGCCTTGGACATCAACGATCCGGTGAAGCCGAGGCAAAGACTTCAGAATGAAGCGTTTTTGGGAGTACAGAAAGAGGTTGGCCAGGAATATTATAAGGAGCTTGGTTTCAGGAAGACGGTTCTGGACGGGATGCGTATTTGTTTGGGCAGCTCATAAAGGAATTGTCGCAACATTGCGAGTTGCCGGAAGGGCTTATTGAATTGGCTGATGGGCTTTGTCGAAAATATCCGGAGGAGAGGTTATCATTGAAGGAAGTGCTTGTACATCCTGCCTTGAAGGTTTGTTGGTTGTTTTGTAAATTAAATTAGAGACTTTTAGAGTGATTTACCGTTGATTATGGATAAATTGATAAATTTTTCGCTGCTTGATGAAGAAGCTCGGGTGGAATTTGTTCGGTAAGGGAACGAGTATGGGCTGTTAAAATGAAAATGTAGATCGTTGCCGGATAGATTAGCTGATTTGGATCCGACATCGGCGGGTTGTCTTTTGTCGAAACCACTCCTCTCTCGGCCGGTGATGTTTTGTAAGGAAACTCACGAAGGACTATATCCGCGGTTATTACTACCCCGTAAGTTTCAAAAATACAAAAATGCAGCCCTTCTTTAGAAGATGATTCCAACGATGGTATATTGCCATTAACCGTCTTTCAAAAATATACTGTTCCGGAGGTAACAATTCCTTTTTTATACAATAAACTCCCTGATCTAGATTCTCTATATCTGGAAAGTACGGGACATTGGTGTACGCTTGCCCCTCATCACCTTTCTCCCATTATATATCAACGCTCTACAAAGATCCGACCTGGAGAAAATGATCATCCCCGAGGTAATGTAGCCATCATGATTCGCTTATTATTCTTTAGCTGCACGCTGGTGTAGATGACGTACACCCAGAAATCGTTGCTTCTTCTTACGAAGGACTTGCGCACTGTGTTCGGATTCTTGGCCCAACTACCGTAACTGGAATGAGGCCGAAGAAGATCTTTAGAGATGGACAGCTCGGTACACAGGTGTGTGCAACATTTGATAATCAGCACCTTAGTTTTTAGAAGGCTGTTAATGGCTGGACGGCAACGGCAACCAGCATTATTCCACCAGAAATACCGACAGCTCAAAATTCTGTGTTTCACAGTCCGGCGGCCGCGTCGACATCCGCAGTGTCTAGTGCTAGTGAAGAAGTAAGCCTTAATTTATGGCAATTCAGCGCCATTTTCTTTTAAGATTTCCAACGAAGAAAGCGAGGAATGGAACGAAGAATGGGGCGAAGAAGAGGCAGTTGACACGGAAAATACCGACAGCACACCGATTGCAGAAAATAGCTACAGTACCCCGGTGGGGACTATTGGGCCACCCAGTAGAGAGGTAGTTCAAACAAAAACTACAAAATATATATCTTTATTTAGACATCAACTTCGAGCCATAAACCGATAATCCCCGTTATTGTTGATGTCAAGGAAATTACTCTGAGAACCGAAGAAGATGATTTCTTTGCGGACATGGCTCCAAAAATTAAGACGGGTGAATCCCTAATTGACAAGCTGATTCGGGAAGCTGATGAGTTAGAAAAGACTTCAAAAGGTGTGGAAAAAATTTAGAATACAAACTCAACGTAAATTATAGCTGAAAAAATCAACACTCCACCCGAAAAAGGAATACCCCAAACGAAATCTGCCCTATTTCAACTGGCCGCTGATAATAATATAGAAGATATTGAGGTAATACCTTATACATTTCAACATAATCCCATTTTAGGGTGACGTTTGGGAAGCCGAAATAGCCATCGAAGATTAATTCACCATTCCACATTGATTCTAATTTGCTCTTTCAGTGCCTTACCCCTTTCCGCCATACCGGCTTTACACATGTGATGCATTAAAGAATCCGGGAATCAGATGCATTATCGAGATAAAATATTATTTATCCCAAAATTACGAAAATGGCGTGGAGATTCTGTAAAAACACTGTACAACTCATACCGTATGTCCGAACGAGTGCTTTGCGGGGGGGAAGAAGCGGAAATTGAGGCAGAAAATTAAAGGTTGGAAATAATTAATGACGGCCTTTCGGACCATGGCTATATCGCTGCGGGACATCGTACTGTACGTGATGCACGCGACCGGGTTGATTGAAGACGATATCATTTTCGGTTCTGAAACAATTCATAGAGGGACGAAGAAGTATCTATTTACCTTTGCGAATAGCGGAAAGAATGTCTGAAAGCTTTACACACATAGCAAGCGACTAGACCGGAACAGCAACAAACAGTGATAATAAAACTGATGAGGATTAGCCACCTAAATTTCGTATGAAATATTATTGCTTCCACTTACATCAGCACTCTAGAATCGACAATTACGCAGGCATATTGATTGGTGAGTCCATTACATTTGTCAACAAACATACAATCCGATGGACACATTGATTTACCTGAATGAAATTTGATTTAATGTGGCCTTAAACTACTCACATGTGTCCAGCGTAGCATGGCATACCTCAGCGGTACCCTTATTCGTATAAAAAGCGTTTCCCATCTTCTTTGGAGTATTGAAATGTTGTGTATGGGGGTAGATAATCGATAGTCAGACTGTGGGGGAGCCTTCAAAGTGAGTCGCGCATCAAGAACGCCGGACTAAAAAATGGATCGCCATTTTCCAGTTTCGTGTCGCCTCCTCGCCCAAACAGCCGGGTGTGGCTGGGGTGTGGCTGGAGATACCTCATGACTGTTTGTGGGTAATTCGTGCTGATTTTGGTTAAATTAAAATAATAAATCAAAATAGGGTGAAATTAGAGAATAAGGTAGCGATGATTACTTACCTTAGACCACGGCCCAACATAATAAAAATATATACAGCTCATGATAAATAGCTGGAGAACAAACCCAGGGCTGTTCGGAGGCATCTGGTAGCTTTAAGGGAACTACTCAGCCTTCCATGGCCTTCTTCCCCCCTCCTTTTGCCTCCAGAAATGAGATCTATAGCCCTCTGAGGACCTCAGACGAGAAGTGCCGTGACAAATTGCCGCCGTGGCAGCTGGTGGCTCCGAGAATCCGTAGCTCGGGAATGTAATTGGTGGGAATACGGATGAATTCGGCCAAAAAGGAGGCCGAACAAGAACTTCCGCTCCCTCTCCAACTAAGAGTTGTACAAACCCGCTGAAATCTTGACACACTTAAAGGGGCTCAGAAGTCAAAATTTGTGCGAGCGGGGATCGAACCTACGGGTCAAAAAACGAAAGGGTCACTGCCGAGAAGTGCCAAAAAGTAATTTGATTGCGAAAAAACGGAAAATGTTTGAGAAAAACCTAATTCTTTTTGGGGCAAAAACGACATTTTGAGTGCGCCGCGATTACATGTCGTAAAGGCTTGTAAGGTACCCAAACTCTCGATCTCAGTGATTCTCTGGTCAATTTTCATAATTTAAAAATCTGGAATGATCAAAATTCGTTGAGGCTTCCAAAAATAGTATCAGAATTTTGAAATTCAAGCGTTTTCGCGTCCAAACAGAGGCAAAAGATCATGCGGTGCGGTCGCGTTGCGGCCGCATCTGGCTATTTGCCAGGAATCACAGCAGGGGCCGTGGACCAGATTTCGGAGCCCCTTTAATTTAGAAGAGCCGTTGACGCAGAGTTCAAAGCAATTTCGCGGATGCAATTAGCTTTGAAATTTAAATAATACCATCACTCGTTTGCATTCAAACTTCTTGTTCTGTTCCCAAAAGCACAACTTTATTCACGGAAAGCTACTAAAGCTAGCTGAAAAACACACGAAATATTGGTCACGACGAATCGGAGATCACAACTAGCGCACACGTGTTGCAATAGAAAATTCTAAAAAGTATAGTTTCTCTTTTTTGACAAGGGTTTTGGGGTACCAAAGTATAGTTCATTAAACCGAAATATGCACCCTACGAGAACCATCAATTTGAAAAGGACTACTATGGAATCAGTAGCGCCCCGTAAAAAGCTTTGAATCACATCGGTACGGTTGGCGGGGAGATGGAATGCAAAAAGAGGAAGCGAATAAATATGCAAATCCTTTGCAAGACTAGATGGAATGAGTTCTGCCTATATAGCAAAGAAAATTGGAAGTGTTTGGGGAACAAATCGTAAAACTTGGTTAAGCTCATTTAATCGGTTTTGGCGGCGATTGAATACTGTTTCCATTGATAGTATTCCCATTGAATACTGGCAACGATATTTCCGAGGAAGGAATGTGTTTTGGAGAGGATTGGGACAAGAAGGAATTGATGTCCAATGGCACACATCCGGTAGAAGCGCGAACGGAACGGGTCGCTGATTGCCGGGCAGAGGGTGTTGTTTAGGTTAACACCGGTGTACTGTAGTAGGGTGGAGATTAGGAGTATAATTACGGCTTACCAGGCCGAGAAATTGCAGGACGACGTAGTGATACAGTAGGAAGAGACAGAGGGCGAAAACAGGCCATACAAAATCGTCGACTTTTTCAGCTTCGAATGCACCTAAATGTTGGGATTATCATGTGTTAATTTTTTTGCTTACCTTTATGATACAAAAGATACGGCGGCACCAACACGATGGCAATATGCTGAACATAGTAGATCAGCACCTCGCCAGGAAGCTAAAAATAACTCCAATTACTTTCACAATATGCAAATCCCATTTCCGATCCGTTCTCTCATTTCCCTCATTGCCACATTGCCCCCGTTCCATTTCAATGCATTCCAAATGGGAATCAGATGTTCGGCTGGGGCGCGAAATAATTGGCATGCCACAGCGGTTTCGAGAAACGAAAAATGCTTTCAATGGCGAAAATGTTTTGTTTTTGCGGAATTTTTGGGATATTGGAATGGATGGGATTAATGCAGGGAGAGACTCGATCGTAATAGAGTGGTGGCAGGTGAAGGAGGTTTGGGCCATTTGAAGAGAGGGTCCGATCGGTAATTACGTCGGTCATTTGTCCGGATTGGGGATAGAAGGGTAGGGAGGGATTAATCTTCAGTGCACCCAGGGTAATGAGAAAGACCATAATCGATAAGTAACCTATTTTTAGTTTAAATGGTGATTTGTGAAACCCAGAAATTTGGTATTTTCATATCCTAAGTCATCAACCTACCTCTCGGGAATTCAGCACCGGAAACGCAAGTGCAAAAATAGCTCCCGTCGAAAAATAGATCATCAACCGATAAATAAAGCATTCTCGTTTCGATTTCCCGTCAGAGGCCAACAGCCAGAGTTGCATGATTGTGGTGATGTGGCAAGGATTCAGCAGGAAAATACCGGTTCTAGATGAAGTTTTTTAAAGTTTCGCTAGGGCTTACTTCGAGATAAGTTTGTACGCAATCTCAGCTCCAAAAATGAGGCTGTACCATGTGAGGACCGGGGATCGAGAGGCATCTCGGGGGTCGCATGTGAAATTCAGATCCAAGTAGGGCCATAACTTTAATATAGTTTAGTTATATATATTTTCAAAGCGTTTTCTTACCCGATAAGCAATATAGGAGGCTATTGGAACAAAAATCAGGGATTCCAAGTAGCGTTGCCAGGTCGGCATGAACTGAAAAATGATACATTTTGCTATAACTATAATTAATTTGATTTACAGCTATTTACGATCTAGATGAATATAAATAAAACATTCTGATAATGTTCAAACTATTATATTTAAAATTACCGAAATGCACAGCGGCCCTCCATTTCCTTCAATAGAATGGTTGACTCCGGCAATTGCCACCTCCCAAAAAATATCCGCGATTGTCATCGGCTTCGTCGCATTCACCTTCATGCTTTTAACATGCTAAAACTGACCATACGATTATATATCTTAGGAGGTCTTGAGACACCAAAATCAAACGAAAAGTTAACGTCGATGCTACTGTAACGAGAGCCCGGGCCTTGATTTGATTTTATTCACACAGGTGCGATTTTCACGAAAGACAAAAACCAATCCCCGGGGCGAGACGTTGCCATGGTAAGGAATCAAATAACTTGCAGCTTCTCCCATGAGAACACCTCTCCTTGTAGTCGCGGCGTCACCGAAAAAGTCGGAGACGTCCGGAATTAATTATACGAGTCTGACGGTTAGAGGAAATGGGCCGATTTTGCAGATAAGCTAGATTCTAGCTGATGAAAATCATGATGTTGTTAGCTTTTAAGGGGTTCGGTTGGGAGAATGGAAGGTGGTGATGGAAGGGAGGAAAAGAGAAAAAGGAAGCCCCAACCAGGCTCCAATAGAATTCAATTTATTCTCGCTGGATCCCGGAGGGTGAGGGTTGTGTGGGAGCCGGAGGAGGAAAGTTGCGAATCAATTGGCAAAATTTTAGGGAGAAAAAAGGTGGCGGATAATCCAGAATAAACAGCAATTACATTATTATCGAATGGTAGCCTAATAATTTTCTACAAAAGTTCATATCTGTTTGAAATGTCCTAAGACTCATATAAAATGTTGATACTCCTTGTTTGAAGTCCAAACTGGGGTACTCGCCGGGTTTCAGCCGAGAATCGATAACTGGGCCCCATGCTGGGGTACTCGAAAGGGTGGCCTAATAAAATTTCGAGGCCCAAAACGAATGCCCCCATCCTCCATTCTCAGCCTTGCCGAAAGCTCATTGTCCACGATTTTGCAGGGGCGTCTGTCTGCAGATTCGGAAAACGGCTGAAGCCTTCCAACGAGCCCCGTAAAATGGGAACCAAATGAAATGGAGCTCGCACGAGCAGTAGTCGAACGGAATGCGAAAAGGCACTGGTCTTCGATGCGGATCTCTTTAAATAGCGACGAGCTTTATGTAAATTTGATCGATATTTTAAATCAAGGATTTAAAAAAAAATGAAAATTGATAGGGAGGGATTGGTAATTTGTATTTTACAAGCGTACGCAAATTTCAATAAAATTTTCTAAAACGATGAATGCAGTAAAAACCAAATTTAAAATGAGTAGATGCAATAAGATAAAAAACAATGTCAAAGGTTAACTTCATTGGACCCTAAATGCAATTTAATTCTTGCAAAATAAACCAAAAACTTATGATCTAATTGACGTTTTGCTTAAATCCCAAACTTTCAAAAATTTGACCCAGCAATAATATGAACAATTATCGAAAAACCAGAATAACCGAAGGGTAAGCGGGACGTACACCTGGCACTCTGCCCACAAAGAACATCCATTCCTTGAGGCTAAAGACCCAAAAAGCTTTCCCGACTTTTGAGGAGTAGAGCCCCGAAATGCGAGCCAACGGGAAGTAAGCCATGGCAAAGGCGGGTCGACGGCGGGGTCATTTGTGGGACCGAGGCAACAATCATGCCATAGAGGCTAGGGAGGGGAGGGCCCATAGGGGCCAGCCACTGGGGCCCACAGAGGACCCAGAGGGCCCTCCGAAGAGCCACAGCCCCCTTCCTCTCCCCGATCTCTCTTTGGCCCTTTCCTTTTCCTTCACTCAACCCCCAACACAAGTACACATCCCAACCCTTTCCACGGCCTTCGAAGGCTCCTCCCTCAAATACCCCCAGGCCAAATAGCCTGTCGAAATGCGCGTCTCTCGCTCAACGCCTTCCGAATACTTGTTTTCGTTGCCCTTTTAGGGGTAAACAGACAATAAAGTAGTTCTAACCCTCGTGCGCCTGATGATTCGATGCACTTTTGGTCGGAGAGAAGGGAAAATTCTGGAACGGAGGTCTATGTTTAGGTTGGAGAAGCCTTATATGGGGGATGGGGAGGTCAAAATTGGACTCCAAAAGGTTTTATGGTTTCATCAGAGTCATTTTGCGCATGCGGGGATTCGAGTGGGAACGGAAGTTTGTGGTAGTGAGGAAATAAGACTGGTCCAATTGGTATTTTTAAGGGCTGGGAAGGGGAAATTTGTGAAGTGGTAGGGCTCGGCGTCACTTCAAGTGTAATGGCGTGGAAAATGTAATCCTTGAAGATTCAGAAAAACACCCTTGAGTTTGTAAAGGGATCGTACCAGCAGAGAATTTACGTACAGATAAAAGAAGTAGTATTAATATAAAAAATATGGGATTCAGAACAAAAGAGTGCACAAATAGTGACATATATGGAAAGTAAATATGGGAAATATAGAAGAAACGATGATTTACGAAAACTAGCATTTTAACAACGTTTAAGACATTGGTTGAACCGGAAAACAATCTGACGTTTTTTTATGTACATATATACCAGCCAGACAACCAGGGGGATTTCCCGGCCCAAATAATTGGTGGTAGCCGGGACAAAATCGCCAAAAACCGTGCCCCCCGTCAAACGTCTGCGCGCGGAACGAGTTCTTGTTTTTTTGCGCATTCACTCAACGCGCCAGCATTAAGCTCGGAAACATGGGAGAGCAACAAATTGGGCATAGGAGGGGAGCACAAAATCTATCCGAGGATTTGTCGTTTTCTTTAGTTTTTGAATGGAACAACGTTGTAATATTGGTGAAAAGTGGAGCTAATTGTAGGTCAGGGGTGAGGTCTGTGTGGAAGAAAAAAAGCAAAGACGTTTTAAAGTTATCAAATTTCAATTAACCATTTTCACGCTTGTAGCACCAAAAAATATTCTTTCCTTGTTGCGCCAAAGGATTGATAATATTTGGAAAGATAGGATGCGAAGAACAGCAGCAAAAATGCTGCCGGAGAGACGGACTGGTTAGGTGAGAAAGTGTTGCAAACCTTGAAAAAGGGGAAAGGAGGCTACCGAATGTACTGATGACCCGCCGGGTTTTCCAAGCAGTCCCACCTAAGTTGAGACCCCCCGTCAACGGGGTCCCACTCTCTGCGCAAACAATCGCATGATGTTGCTAGGCCCTGAGGTCAGAGCTGGTCATTTTCCGGTCGGGTTGTTCGAGCCGCTATTTGACGACCCCATCGACCATCCACCAACCACAAAAGGAGATCCAACCTCGGATATCGAATTTTTATAGCACTGACCGAGTAGCTAAAATCATCGGTTCTGGATTGTTAGCGGGGGGGTTAGCGGAAGGACCCATCTACTCTGTACCTACCTACCAAAATATTTAACGTTTGACAACGCGTTCATGGTTTTTAAAAGTGTCCTGAATTGCTATATAATACGATATGCATAAATATAATCCTAATCTATTTATTACTTTTGATCTATTATCTCAATTGTTTCTTCAAAAGTTTTTAAAAGCGAGGTGTCATAAACCTCAATTTTTGGGAAATTAAGAAGATAGAAATTTTGAGCAATATTCATACATATCTGACTGCAAACCAATTTTGATTATTTTAGTTAATTTTAATAAAATTTTCATATGTCAAAAAGGCCTCCCAACTAATGGTGTGTAGCTCATTAAAGGTACCTCGCAAAACGATATGCCAAGGTTAGGTTCCCACGCCACGCTAAAATCCATGCACGCTCCCCCCCCCCCGCTAACAGTCCAGAACCAAATAAACGCGTAGGTACTTTAAGAACGAGGATGGCAACCCTCCCAAAAAAACTATGGATCGAAAGTATTTGACTGACCTGTCGTCGGAGCGACAAGCAACGCAAAAAGTGACAGGCAAAACATGTTTGAGGAGGGGGGTGGCTAGTAGTCGATCATTGGGCACTTGTTCTCTCATATAAAAACTTGCACAGACGAGATTGGCTTATCGTATATAAGGCTCAAAGTTTTCCAAAACAGCTCTTGCTAAGTGGGAGCGGTTCTGTCCTAGACAAGTAGGACCTTGTTTTTAGTTTTGCTAATTTGATGATCGGTCTGAAGGGATACTGTAAACATTTCACGCCTATGTATCGAATTTCAACCGTGAAACGTAGAGGACAAAGTTTTATGATACCTCCCATTAATAACGTTACAAAAATTCACAACGGCACCCCACCCAATCCAAACTAGCTCCTTTCCCAGAACGGTTGTTTTTAGGCAATGCCCGCATGGTTGAGATAATGGGAGTGGATTCCTTATAAGCTTTGACTCAAGAAAAAAAATAGGCGGAATCGAGACGTTGCGATATGGGCGGCTGGCTGGCTTGCCATTTTCACACTTCGTGGGAATCCGCCCTTTGACCCGGTTCTACCTGGGGGGAAAGGCGGGATTATCAGAAGTCAGAGATTAGCCACAGAAATGGTTGGGAAGCATTGAACACATTAATGACATTGGGTGTACTGTATGCTTACCTTATTTGGAAGTTAAAGGGGTAATTCCTTATGGATACGGTCACAGCCGCAACAAGTGACGCGTCCCTGGAAAGTTTGTACTTGATTATGCGATGGAGAAGCGCATACGCGTTGCGGGTCAAATTTTAAATACGTACGAGATGGAAAAATCTACTACGAGATGGAAATGCTAGTGGGCGTCTCGCGTATCAATACGGAATCCTAGGCCAAAAGAAGACACTTACAACACCTTGCCAGTTCTATTGAAGCTTTTTACAGGTCGTCATGGCAGTACCGTTTAACAATATAACAAGTAAAAGCGAAGCGCACACCTTACTTAACTTTAAAGGAGCAAAGTCGGGAAACGAGGGCATCCTTTGACATGCTATTTCGGTCGCAGGGTTCTACAATCGACCAATCCCTGGCCTGATACCTTAGGGAAATTTCGATCGAAACGTCCGATTTTGCAGCAGGATCGCTTTCAAAATAGATCGATATATTTGACCCAAATATCCATATTTATTTATCTCAATCAATTTCCTGCCGAACACAGAACACCCCTTCAGACATCGAGTTTTGCCCCCCCCCCCCACAAATTACTTGATTAGCGCCTGATTTTCGGGCCCAGCCAACAAAGCGCCCGTCACCGAAAGCACCATGCTTTCACGAAAAGATCCGTTTCT